GCACGCACAACAGGATCAGCTGTCAGAGGTGAAAATGAGTAGCATCACTGCTTCTCAGCTAGGGATAGTTGTACTGCGATCTGCATCCTTCTTCCTTCGGACTGAAGACCAGAGCAGTTCACACCAGGAACATGGCATGGTGAAATGCATGGTCCTAAACTTTGAAAGTACCCGGCTGCCAAACCTCTTCATCAAAAAGTGAACCTAGGTCTGCATCCGGGCAAACGTAGAAGGAATGAGAGACAAACAGAATCACACTGAAACTGCAAAGAGATTGATCTCACTGAACTGCAAAGAGTTCTAGAAGTTCTAGCCTGAAGCCTGAAGCAATCGCACCCGGGTCACTTCAATGATTTTGTAATGAACAACCAAAAAAGGAAGACTGACTCCCTCAGTTTTGTCTGGATCATAGATGAACCGTTAACCGTTAACCCCACCCGTTGCTTTGGAGGAAAGCCCACGCCCCCCAAATTTGCTATCATCCAGTCTTCTGAAACAAGAACACGCAATCACACGTGTCCAAAACGCGCACACACACACACACATCCCTAAAGCACTGTGGATTTGTTCCGAGCTTCAAGCCCATCCGAGTCCAACTCCGCACTCCGTGCGCGCCAAAAAGGCGAAAAAAACGCAAGTTCAGGGCGTCAGGCTTGGAGAGCCAGAGAAGGGCGGGCGCACCACCAAAGGGAATGGCACTTCGCGTCCTACGATCTTGACGTACATGGGGATGCGCAGTGGTCCTGCGCACGTGAGAAGCTGCAGTGAGAAGAGAAGCGTCTCCATGGATAGCACGGGCCATGGACAGCATGTCAGCCCCGTGCAAGATCGGGTGAAGAGGAGAGGTGTTGGCCATGCGGCAAAGGAGTGAAGATTGGATCCGTGTTGCCTGCCATCTGTGATCAACCAAAGCTCTCCTAAAAAATTAGATGGGTCAATGGGCAGTTAAGGGTTAATAACTCTGGACAAAGTTCTTAATACCATCTATGAACCCTTCAGCGCTTCGGACCCATCTAACACACATTCGTACGCAGTAGTGTACGTAATATCTATGTACACAGCAAATATCACTTGTCACTTCCCGTCGTTCCTCGCTCACCATCGCCATGCAATATGCCATGAACCATGAAACAGAACAAAAGCTCTTCCGGCAAAACCACCTTGTGTCATGTCCAGTCAGGACATACAAAAAAATCCCAAGCAGTTGGAGCTCAAGCCATCTTCGGCTTCGGCACATGTTGAGAGCTCCAAACAGGCCCCCCCAACAGTCACGAACGAGCCTGCCGTGTGTGCCGTCAAGGTCACGGTGATCACGTGGGAGGCACACGGGGGCACCGTACCGACCTGGATTGGCGTGTAGAGGCGAAGATAACTACAGACGGACTGGAAGGGTTCTACTAAGTTCATGGATTCATCGTACCCAGAGGTATGGGGTTCCTAAGTAAGTGAGTTCTCTGCGGATCAAGAGAACTTCATAAGACATGAGTTCAAGTTGATCTAAGTTGACCGCCCATCATAGCGTTACTGCTATGGTGATGTCCTTTTGTTTTTGGGACCTGTGTAAATGAATGTTTAACTATTTTCAATGGGCTTTCACAGGAATCTTCGGATGTTTGTTGCTTTGTTCATCTATCCAAATTCCGATTTATTCCATATGCATGGATGGTGCTAGGGTATTGATGAACCTCAATCTGCACTTGAAGTTGATTGCCATTCTAAGCCCATGCCATGCCTCACTGGGTGACAGCCATCCTTGAACCTCCAACGCTTCGGGGCAAACTTCGAAGAAGCTGCCTGGTGGGTCGACGACATGTCGTAGGTAGCCCAATGGTCCCTCTATGGATAAACTTACAATTTATAATATAATCAATCATATTTATAGTTAAACCGACCAAGCAGCATCATGATTTCCATGAAAAGTAATGTATGGATATCATAATTACATCCCATGCCAAGTAGATCGTGCGCAGCTGTATACCAGCTACAGTGCACCTTTGCACAGGTTGTGGACGTGTTCTGATCTTTGCTTGATGTGATGCATATTCCACAGAGTTTTGACAAGCTGTTGCCCCACAACAAGAAATATGACCACTTCAAAGCCACAGTGCTTTCAGAGATCCCCTTTTCGTACATGCTGCTTAGCGAGAACTCACACATCGTAATCTCATCGCAGTCACCAGCATCCGCAAAAACACCGAACTTTCCGCCGCCAGGACACACCACTTTGGCTTCGACTTAGGTAATTAGAATCACAGAGATCAAGCTGAGCATCCCCCACCCACTGATCCGGCTCAAATTCCGCCTTGGATTTATCCTCCTGAGAGTGGTCAAAGGAATGCACGGAGTAGGTAGAATGGGATGCTCTTTCAGGCCAAGTCTTGGTGGAAAGAAAGCAAACAGCCCTTCATTCTAGGCATGATTGCAGGGCTGTGTGCATGGATGAAGGGTAATCAACACAGGACCCAAGCAAAGTGACCCAATACCCAGTGGAATGCAAACACAACCAAGTTGCGTCGCCACTACTTTGCCCCTTGGTCTTTGGGGCTCCCGTCATTCCCGTCGCTCCACTTTGTCAGGCTCCATCCGGTCACATCCAACCCGTCAGTCTTCCCATGCCAGGTTCACCCGTGATGGGGTCGACATTGGTTTTGACATTGACACTTCCCCCCACCGTGGCCATCAAAAGCATTACACAGGAACGGGTGAATGCTGTCCTCTTCGGAAGCGAAGATTTCCGCATCCCAAAAGGCGGATATAGCAGGAACTAACTATAGCCAGTTAGTTTACTGTAGGGTGGTCGCCTTTCTGCTGTAGGCAGAAGCAGTCAGCGCCGTCTGATTTCCGACTGCCAGCGCTAGCAGCGCACATCAAATCAAGTCCTAGAGCCTGGGCCTAGAGTTATCCAGAGCACGCTCCCGAACCCCCTTCCAGTTGATCTACGAAAGCCTCCAAAAACCAATCCACTTGATCTACTCAAACACGGTGCCTCCTCCGCGTCAAAAGCTCCCGTCCTGTGTCTCCACCATGAACTTGGCAGGCAAGACCTGGTCGCCGATCCAGTTCACTGGGCGTCCGCTGCGACAAGAGATGGTCGACGCACAGCTCCCATTGGGTAAACAATATGATAAGTGGATTCTGATGATGAACATTGAATACTTGATTGATAGTAGTTCTAGAGGACCCTGACCAAAATGCTCTTGAGAAGGTTCATGTTTTCTTGGCGTGATCTGCGTGGTATATTTAAAAAGGAACTATGTTCCCGTTCCAATCGACGAAGCAGAATGCAGTGATTTGAACAGTTTGGTGGGAGGAAACATTAACCGACATTTCTTGGAGGAGGAGGTCCTGTCTTTGGCTTAGATAGCTGGCACATACTAGGGACCCCGTTTTCGAATCACCTTCCTTTTCGTCCGGGCCGTGATCTTCTCGTCCTTCAATCGCCACATCTGCTCCGAGTGGCAGAAGTGTTGTGCAAGTAGAGGCTTTGATGAAAGGGATACCTGTTCGGGCGAACCAGTCTCGGCGTCTCACCGGATGTCCACAGGTCGGGAGCTGGAGCCTATAGGGCCTAGAACGTCCCACGTCCCCCCAAATACCGAAAGGAAACAAACAAATTTGTATAAAAGTGTTCAATGATAGCAAACTTTTTGATAGGTTTGCCATGACACCGTGGGCAAATTTTGCCCATCACCAATTTGGTGCCACAGAACGATGGCGAGGAAAGACCACCAAGCAACAACCTAGTATCCTCCAGGTCTCTAGTCCTGGCCACATGTGACAAATTATATAATACACACTAGGGAAACTTTGGGGAGTAGCTTCTAGGGTCCTTACTGAAGAAGTCTTCCACAACCTATGAACTACCCAAACACTCTAAATACCATTGTTCCCCGTCTCTGTCCTCCAAGTCATGCACGATTTCTTCTTCCACTGATTTTTTCTTTGCCCGATCAAATTCAACCCTTTGAAGCAAGCGCTTCTGCCCAACGTACCGCCGCTGCTTCGAAAACAAACACTCGCTCCGCAACTCCGCCTGATGAAGACGTCCCCATAGTTCAAGCAGCCGTGTGGCTCGAAGGAGACCTGATTTTGGTCGTTGGGCCATGGCGGAAGAACAAGTCGCGCGGCTGAACGGTCATGTTCCCAAAAGCCATTGAAGGAAATGACATTGGGTCTCCTTTCTCAGGTCTTTTTCGGGGATTACATGGAAGTAAGACCTAAAGAGCAGAATCTGGGGATACTTCAGGCAGACAAACGTTTACGCTTGTTAGCCTTCTTACAAAACACTCTGAGGTCAGCGGCGGATCGAATTAACAAGTCTAATTTTCGTGGCAGGTGTGGGACGGTCAATTATCACACCCTTTTACATTTACAATAATAATAGGCTTTCCGGGGTGACAAATGACCGCCCACACCTTCCCTTGTCTCATGGTGTAGGATTCTAGGGGGATAGGGTTGTCATGAGTTTCAACATCAACAAGCGCAACTTTCATCTGGCCAGTGTATTGGGTGTAAGAACGCATCTTGCATGTTTTTTTGGTCAAAACTGCAGAGTCGGACTACCATGGACTACCAAACACCCAGTCGGACCAGGTAAACCTCGTGGTTGGACACCTCTGGAGACTCTAAACATGTTCTTGGGCCGTCTTTAGGTTGACGCAATCGAAGCAACTTGCATATGACACTGGTCGATCTGGTGTTTGAACCTGTACGTGGCTTCTCTAGCGTAGTCTCCGAATCAGCTTACAGTATAGAGATGCTGTTTCTTGCATCAAACGATTCTCGTGGACCACTTGATCTTGGAACAACAACAAAGTCTTAGCGTCATGGTTTTGGTGCTTATGTCGATGTGTGGGTGGTTCAAAACACTGACACAGTTTGAAGTAGGTCAGGAACCCCTTAGTAGAGTGCAAAGTCCATCAGTTGTTTGGCGCTTCAATGCTACTTGGGAAAATCAATGAACATCAAAGGGAAACCGGCTTCTCTTCATCATCTCCGTCAGCACCCACACGCTGCTGGGTTCACGCGCCGTAGGCACAGCACATTGAGCAAACATGGGGATCGACAACAATTCCTGGAGTACGCCGGGAACCTTGTCAAATTCCATGGCAAATGATCACAGGTGAGTTTCAAGGAGCACAAAACAACAAGCAATAGCAACATCAAGCAACCCAAGCATCAAGCAAAAATGCAAAGGCTGCCCTTGGCAATTTCCTTTGCTGAGGTTTACCAAATCGGCATGTAGTGCCCATGTATATATAGTAATATATTAAGTATTAATATATTATGTTACATTCTAACTGTTCGGATACTGTTGAGGACCAGTGCCGTCAGAGATGCCGGGAGAAATGGGCCACAATGTAGGCACGTAAGTAACCATGTACCTGGCTTCTGTTTCTGCTGGGTACCTTCCCGAGAAGGGATCAGCCTTCGACTACCCTGCCTTCGACCTCGCAGCCTTCGACCTCGCGAGCGAAGGAATCGGCTCCTTGCCCACGCCTTCCAAATCCACGGAAAGCCTGGTGCGGGGATGGGAGATGGGCAGCAGGGGATGTGTGGAGAGTGAACTGAGTCTGCCTTCTGTGATCTTTCTTTACCACACTAACCCTACAAGCCTGCTCCCTGTGTTGGGACAAGGTAAAGGCTAAGTGGTTGCTATCCCAAAAAGAATTGGTCGGTTGTCGTCGTGGGAGGACGTGCTCGGTTCTCACGACTGAATTGTTTTCATTGACTCAAGGGATGTTCATAAAGGTACCAAGGCGTTGATCCACACGGAGTGTTACATGTCCTTGAGCTTAGGTACTGCTTAAATGTCCTGATCTTTTTCTGGTGCTTATCATGAGTTGCAGGATACAAAGGTGAACATCGCCTTGCAACACACACTTGACGTGACAGGACAGGTCCTTTTCAGTGTTTTGGATAGGTCCTGAAGAGTCTGGTGAACTTTCATGTGTGACAGGATCCTCCAAGAAATCAGAAGTACTTACCGAGTCCACCCATGGACACCGAAAACGCGCAGGGAAAAAAAGGCCCCAGGGTCCACCCGGCATCCATGGCATCCATCTTAGATACGGTATTCGCCTCAGGTGACTCAATGGGCAAGTTCTGCCATGGCATCCATCTTCCCTTTTCCACCAAAGCACCTGGCCTCATGTCGTATTTCTTCTCGGTCTGACTGATAAAATCCACCTGTCCAGCTCGACACAAACCCACGCATCTGTTCCCCATCTACGATCGTCAAGAAGGACAACATCGTGAAACATGGTTTTGGAGATTGGGGTCTGCTTCATAGATGATTCCGTCCCAGTGGGATGCGCACGTGTAATTCCTGTCGTTGGACTGAAGTGCACCATCAAGGCCACTGCCACTGCCCCTGCCAGTGGAAAACCATCTCCCAGCATAGCCACACCCTTCTGGGAGATGGTAGCTTTGGTGTGACATAGCTTTGGGGAGGCCTGCCGCAAGGCCCCCTTGCGTGGCCCCCTTGCGTGCCCAGGCAGAGTGTCCGTACGGGTGACCGGGAAATCTAGGGGGGTCACCACTTCAAGGAGGGAGCTGCATGATGTACCCCGCAGCTGTGCAAAATAGATATGGTCGGTGGAACTAGCCTATGAATCCAGGAAATGTTGTCAGTTCCACCGTGAATATTGATAAGAAATTAATGTGTTATTTTTTGTTATTCATGTTAGCCAAGATATACCCACAAATTAATTAATGATGGTTGGTATGTGTCTTGCATTGCTTTGCTATCATGTGCAAGCTATATAGGCTGTATATACTTGACTCCAGCTATGTTCTCAAAAATACACATCTGATATCATCTGATACTCATCTTCAGAAGCTCCTCGGATCCGGGAAACATAGTGTAATCAAGAAGGCCTCAACCAGGGACAAAATAGATCCCAAGCAACCAAGCTGCTAGGGCTCCGGCTGAAAGGATAGTACAGTTGGATTGAGTATGGTTCTATAATATAGGCTTCCACTCACTTGAAGGGATGCCAAGATCACCAAAGGTTAATTTCTGCCACAAACATCTCAACCACCCGCCCTGTGGCCGCTCGGGACCTGAATTCTCTGAGCACAGTTCGGCAGCAAAGTGCCGCGCGAAGGGATAATCTCGAATTCGTTGTTGGGAGGTGCCTGCTACGCCGTCGATGCGTAACAGCTTCAGACAAAATCGAGCACAAGAAGCGCCCGAGAAGGGTACGCACTGGGCACATCATTGAGATTGATTCGTTGCGATGAGTTGATGAGGAAGATCCACCAGGTGGAAACAAACCTGGGACTTTGGAAACAAGATCGTGCTGACACGTTGTTGACCTACCCACATCGGCAAATTGACCTTGGGACAAACACACGAACACATATTAAGGTCCTTGATATATATATATATATATATAATATATATATATATACGGCAACTGTGGTCGAGATCCTTGGATCAAATCCCCAGTCACAAGCGGTGGATGAAAAGAATGTATGGCAGAGCCCACATTGAATGCCCAAATAAGAAACACGCTTGCTCCTGGAGCCTGGGAAAAAGCACGCGGTAAAACACCGTTGAAGATCCCAACGAGCTCTGCAAAGATGAACGGATGGCGCACCGTCGCTCTGTCGCTCCGTTAGACGGATCCCAAAGGAGTTTGGTGACATCACATTATGTGGTAGTTGGCTTTTCATCAAATGTCGGAATATGAGCATCACAAAGCCTTGTGATTGGAAATCCACAAACCTCTTTCTGGCCACGGTACTATCCCACTTAGAACTCATACTAGTTCATTAACTCTCAGCTGCTGCCAATCCAGCTCCGCCACACTCCGCCACGCTCGCTGCCTCATCACCTTTTACTGTAAGAGTATAGTAGCAAGGAACCTGACGCGAAAGGACGTTCGGTGAACAGCAGGGACTTGACCTTGAAGGGATAAATGTGGATAAGTGAAACTAAGCAAAGTAATGTCTTCTCGAAAGGTACATCATCTTGACCTATGGGTCCACAATGTCTACAGTGATATGTTACAATTAGGTTCTCCACATATACTCTCAAAAGACAACTCTTTCATGAGACATGCCAAAGTCCCGAGCGCCAGAGATAAGCCAATTGCCCTCCAAATGCAGTGTCAAAAGGGGCACGATCGTCTGTAGGTGCCAAAACCAACCCGGCCCGCCCCTCCACATGTGCTGCTGCGCGTGTCCCTTCAATAATTAGGAATCGGAAGATTGGACCTTGGGATCTTGTCCTTTATTCCACACAAAATGTTGGGATGTGCGAGGATCTTGGATCTTCCCTTCTCTCTTGGAGAACCGAAAAGCTCAGACATCATTTCATACCCCTCCAATTCGTGCCACTCCGATTCGTCTGATCCCCAAAGAGCGGATCTCCTCGGACGTGTTCGTGAGCGTCAGCATCCTGGAGTTTAGGAACCCGAAGCTCACCTGGACGGCTCCAACCGCGCGTGCGCGGCACGACGTCGGGGCCGGGAGTGGCTGGGGAGGGACGGGCGTGAAAGAGGAAAAAACGGTGGAACCATGAACTTCATGACCTCGGAACCATCGAAAAATGTCGACATATCTGAAAGATGCCCACTCATGTTCAGCTCATGTTTTGCTCATATCTTTTTGCACACCAATGGTGGGCGTTCTGCAGATGCTTGGAATTAGGAACCTAGCTTCACTCATATATAAATTACCCACCGAAGTGGGAAACCAGGCATGGAGGTACCAATTTCCATGAGGCCGCGAAAGGTGCTGGTATAGAGGGTGTCTGGTGAAGGATTCTGCCGCTGCCGAAGATTCGACCTGTCAGGGTCGAATGTGACCGTTGGCCCAGGGACCTCCCCAGGGAAATGTGAACAAAAACGCGTGTCAAATCAATGCATGGGAATCCAAGAAGCCCAAAAAGTTCTGACATGAAAACTCCGTTATATATGTAACCAGGACCTGAAACACACCTCAAGACATTTTCTCAACAGAAAAAAAACACGTGAAAAGAACCTTCACACGGTACAGTAATTGCTGTCCAGCGTTAATATACGAGTCACTGTGCCGAAGTTGATCTTGTCCACATCGAATTCAAACCTTGGTGTGTTTTTGTACAGAAGGGGCGTCGGAGCCGACTTCAAGGGGAGTCAAAGGGCTTGACTCACCGTTTTGACATCATTTTGCATGGGTTTCAACATCCAGAAACACATCCAAGTGGTCGTCGTCCGAGTAGAAGCCTCATTGCAAAACATGCACCCTGGCGGAAGAGTTCTGTAAGTACAGGTTTGTAAAACGAGGGCAAGACCTTGAACAAAACTCCAAAACCACCGGGGACACTGGAGTTGAATGCTTCCAACTTCAAAACGGATTTGTGCTCCGTCCCGATACACGCTTTCTAGACACTCTCGATGAACACCTTCCACCAAGCGCCACTGGCAAGAGCCAAGAAGTTTCATATAGTTTCATGCTACTGTGAACTTTGGTGTCCGGCACAAATGCAGGTGATGAAACATATAAATCATCTGTTGAGTCCTCCTTCGAGTCCAGAAGCATGACACACCCCCAAGATTTCCAAAGTATAAGGGTGACCCAAAAGAACCCACAGGGCTGCTGCCGCTGGGGTCATGATGTCACAGGTCGTATCCTCAAAAAAGTGGGCACACCACAAATGGCTTAGTATTCACAGCGTTCTCTACCGGCCGGCCTTACGGCCCACACCGCGGTGTCCCGCGTGCTGCGCTCGCTCGGGGCCGCGGAACTTGGGTCGCACGGAGGTGCCGCGGAAGGCGAGCGTCACCGCCTCGGGGTCGAAGAGAAGCGGAGCCCCAAAGCTGGGAAGGGAAGGGTGGGAAAGCACCCAGCCTGACTTGGTGCATTCAAGATCTATAGAACAAAAAAGAATCCAAGAAGCACCAGGCTACGGACATGCAATCTTTTAAACGGTCAACGGAAACAGTATAGATAAATATATAAATATACAAATCATGACATGTCATGAGGCCCTTCCACCTACCTATCCTACCTCCACCCCACCTTTCCAGTCACAACTATACCTCTCACTCAGGTTCCCTGCGGCGACAAAGGCCTGGTGTAGAGGGGTCACTTCCACTTTGTGGAGATAGAAGCACTGAAACCGATCTTTTGTTATTTTTGGTTGGTCTTCCTTTCCTGCCCCCTCTAACGGGCAACCAGTCCTTTATGATGAAGCGGTCTTTGGGGTAAGCTGTGGAGGCAAATCAAATTGGACAAGGTACTCACTCGGACAAATCGGACAGGACAACACAAATAAATCGATAATCTATACTTTGGACCGAGCCCACCCCTTCTGCCCGATCTCGATCACGCTAGGCTTCCCCACTGTCGCGCTACCTTGCAGCGCCCATTCAAATACCTGCTTCGTTCGGCGAACAAATATGGTGTGAAGTACAACATTGAATCGTTTCTCTTAGTTTCAATTTGAATCCGTGGTACACAAAGAATCACATTTTATATAGATTAATACAACAAATAGACTATTTACGAACCAAAACTAAAGAAAGCTTCAATCAGCCGAACCCTCATGAACTGGATGCTGAACTCGGCGTCCAGTAAAAGACATAGCAACATCTGTTGAACATCCAGCCAAAGAACCACACGGACGTGGCCTCCCGATCCCCCAAGCTCCGTGCCTCATGGAAGGGTCCAAGCTCCTTTGGCTTGAAATCCACAACAATCTCACACTGACCACCCACCTGAGGCGTCCATCTGATCGCGATGGAAAACTCCCAGAACCAAACTTGAGCGAGGAATAACTGTGAAAGGAAGAATTCCTGTACCAGCATGTGATCACTAGTCACTACAGGGGAAAGCATTGTTTGTGATTATTGTGATTGACTAGATTCTATATTTTCATAACATCACATTTACATAATACATGTACAGTTTAAACTAACATTACATTTACATTTAGTTATTAAACGTCCTTCAAACATCTGGATATGTCTGCAGAACTCACGGATTCGCCCCCATTTGCGCGGTTTCCCGGTGTCCATTGGTGTCTCGGACCTTGACTCACTGAAGGGGAGCCGTCGGTGGCACTTTCACTGCTTGGAATGCTTGAGGAGTAGACCATGACTGAGTGAGACATGAAACATGGGGTGCGCACCCTGTGGCTGTTTGTGATTTCCATGGATTTCTGACTGTTTGCACAAGTGATGCGACTCCCACTAGTTCTTCTAGTAGAACGTCGGATTCGACTGGTGAACAAACATGTACGAGGCCATGGGAGAACAGCCTCCAGAGAGCATAGGTGGAACAGGGTGGAACCAACGACACTCCCTGATACAGTAGACAGTAGGGGAGAGGTTGAAACCTGCAGGTTCGAGGCGGTGATGAAAACCCATTGACAACCTGTCACGGTTGTGGTCGTAGAAACGACATTATGGGTTCCTTGAAATTCCTCATCCAGGACGTCAAAGGGATTCACTGAGGACTTCACTGAGTACTGAAGCAATAAGGTTTCACCTTTGTCACCCAAGTGTTTGCTCCAAAAAAATACTTCAGCCGCATGCCGCATTCCTAAGTTCACTGGGGCCGTCGGCCGCGATGGTGCCATGGTCTGGAGTGAACTTGAACCTGGCGCCATGTCCGAATCGACATCCGAAAGAAGGGATGTCCGAAAGAAGCGAATCCCAAAAGGCCAAACAGGGATAAACAGGGAACGCTTCTTGCTACGAGTAGCGATGCAGCAATGCACTTGTTACTAGTAGCTTCTTGATCCTAGTAGTAATGCCACGAGCTACTAGTACGTAGCTTCTTGCTACTAGTAGCAAGGTGCCTTAAAAGTAGTAACCAGCTACTACAGTGAGTATTATATAAGGCACCTTGCTACTAGTAGCAACGCAAGTTGCCACAGGCCGCAGATCGCAGATTGCCGTCCCGCTTCCTGCACCTCCGATACAGCTTCCGATACTACTTGCGACACTACTACTTCCTATACGCTGACCTTCTCCAGTTTCCCAAATAAAGTGCCAACATGTGCAAGCTTGCGCTGAGCCCTGCTTGAAACTCTTCGTGAAATGGCTACCTGGTTGGTCGTTTTAACCCGTGAAACACGCCCGTTCGTGGGATCAATCATCCCAAGCCCAAGTAAACGTTGGAACATTGATCAAAATATCTGAAACCACCACACTAACCACCACCTATAGGCTACCATGTTGGCTCCCCCAACTCACTCGTCAACGACAAGTACATGCTGCTCAATGCTGAAAATCGTGCCTCGGGGCGAACTTGCCTTCCCGATGCACAAGCCGAAAGTCGAATTCGATGTCGCCCTGGTTCAAGAGCTGCACCTGCAGGAAGGACATCCGGTGGGGACGACCGGGGCACCGGGGCACGGGGAAGGTTGTTGGAGGTTTTTGGGGGTCCAAACATTGACATGTGAAATTTGTTGGCATGGAAGCTGCAAAGCTGAATTGAATTTGGATTGGTAAAATAATGGTGAAACAATGTGAAACTCATGGTGAAACCTATCATTCATAGAGCGCGTTTTTACTGCACGGGGTTTGAGGGTGTGATGCATGTTGTTGCTCTGAAACGATGAACCAAATCGTTGTGCTTGATCCTGTCGGGTCTTGCAGGAGTGGTGATATGCCTGATCCAGGTTCTCATACTATCCAAGAAAGCCACGCACACTGGACAGCATCGAATGAGGTCCTTGGCCATTTGCTGGACAATGCTGAAGCCGCTTAAGAAACAACAAAATAAAACATTGTGCTGTTTTGAACTATATAGCTGCCAGATTGGGAATTTGTTGCCAGACAGTCGATTCTTGGCCGCTTGAGATAAAATGACTTCAATCACTTCAAGCTAACACAATCGGTGTGTCTTTCAAGAACTGCAGTAGTCAGCAAAACGTAGCCGAAAACACCCCTGCAGTCTTGAAAACCCCAGAGATGGTGGGTGGGTTGAAAGTTGAAACTGAAACCCGTGTGAGACACGAGCGCCTGCTTTGGCTCCCCCCCATTGCCCAACCAACCTCATATCGATGCGCACTCTCCACGAAGACATTCCCGACCTCACCAGTGAGTACGGAGCTTGGTGCATAACGGTCTGACCCAAACACTCCATGTATGCTGCTTGATTGCAGCGTTTTTGTTTTTCAGATTGCACATCCAGCATACATGGATCATCATGGATATCCTTGGCATCCCAAACATCCAGCTCGTCATAGGAGAAGGTGGCTTTCGGCCCAATGCCCAGTCCTTTCAGCACCAGCGGCGCGCGGTCCTGCGGTCCGCAAGGGACGAGTGCGGTCCGCGCGGTCCAGGCAGGCGGAGGTGGAAGCTCGATGAGCCTGTGGGCCGGCAGTTGTGACTTGATATGGAGTGGGAATCTGTAGTGGAATCATGTGGAATCACTCGTCTATAGGTTGTTCACATTGAAGATTGAGGGCTGGGAAGATAGTGAGCGCAACAAGTGCTCCTTGTGGAGCTTCCTTGAAGGGCAAACTTCAATACTCTTCAATCACACGCTCCCCCGCTCCCCTAATCCTTCTTTTGATTCATATCAAAATGGAAGTCTGCCCCAAAACCATTCCCTATACACCGGCCACAGGTTGCTTTCCGGTGGCCGTTGTGATCTTCTTTCGCCCCACCGACATCGTCACGTCCTCCTGCCCCACCGCTGACAGGAAGGCGGTGGCACAATAGACCAACGCATCCTGTCGGTCGAAAGGGTCGGAGCATGTCGGACCCCAGGACCGAGACCCGTAAAAGGGTCGGTAGGTGTAGGACATGGACACATTCCAGAGTAGGTAGAGAGGAAAAGCACGACATATTTTGTGGACACATGTTTATATAATATATAATATTGGGCCCCGACATCATGAGCGTCCACTTTGGTGTGCACACCATTTGCTTCACACAAATATCAAAGGACATCGGATAACAATGCACAGTTGTAGTATATATATATATACTCCCAGAATTGTTACAAGTCAAGTCCTCACTTGTTTCTTCGAGTTGGAGATGCTTCCCACCTGCCTCAAAGAGACCTATTTTCAGAGTTTCATAGCTTCATTCCATGGGTCCTATGCCAATGCACCTTGGTGCCGCAACATCTCCAGAGACCCAAAGTGAATCTGCCAAACCATCAGGAGCAGAAACAAACCATTCACATAAGTACACATACACATAAGTACAGCCTAGAGCGTTCCAGGTACCATCTTTCACAACTTGGATCCAAACTGCAAAACAGAAGAAACGCATGAGATGAACCTGTGCGTTTTGAGCGTTTCGCCTTGGGAATTCACCCGTCCCATCGGCCCAATGTGCGTGAAGCAGCACCTTGGGTAAGAAGCAGCAGGCGCAAGTGACCTGCGTCTGTGGCCTCGGTTCCCGTGACCGCCAGACGACAGTCCGGTCGAAAGGACGGCAAATAGCGAGGGATTTGGGCCGACCTTCTAGTTTGAGAATCGGAGAGCGAACCCGTCTACCAAGAGTAACTGCATCTACCAAGTACGCTGGAACACTTGGAGGTCATGGTCGTCCCATCAACTCGTGGGAGCACCAGGTGGTGCAGAAGAGCTTCTCCTGCAACAACCACTAACAAAGAGTGCTGAGTGTCTTCTTGCACGTCCAAACACAGCTGAAGGGCCAGTGCAGGGAGTGTCCTTGCAATTAAACAAATAGAGGGATTTCACTGGACATTCGACAAGAATGATCACGTCGTAGACTTTGTGTTGGTGTTGTAGATCCTGCGATGCCTAAATGTGGGGCTAGCTGGTCGTCAGGAGAACTCGTGAGATAGTAGTGAGCACATTCACAGATCCTGCCTTCAGAACACAACGCATCGTTTCAACTCCACAGGTTTTAACTCCCTCTATAAACGATCAATCCCAACCTACCCCACCAGATCTCGGCTCCCGCCGGTCGCCCGAATGGTCGTCCCGGTGGTCGCCCCATTCCCGGACTCCCGGGTCCGACGAACTCCGGAGCCGCGAGGCCACAGGCGGCCACAGAGCGGCTCGATCTTGAAGATCGCGTCACGAAATAGCATGGGGTCCTCGCGTCGCGCAGCGGGACGCATGACGTCACAAGATGCGATGCGATGCGGAAGGGTTGCTTCAGGACCGCCGAGGATTGCGAGGATGCGTCGGGATGGAAGGGATGAGGATGGAGGATGGAGGGGGGTTTCAAAGGAGAAAGACCGCCGATGGACCACGCGGAGTCGGGTGGTTTTACAGGGGGTTCGGAGTAGATGGCACCAGCTTACACATAAAATAGCCAGTTGCGCCCCAGCTCCTCAAGATGGATGGAAGGCAGTTTGGCTTGAATTCTTGGATCCATGGACTTCCATATCCAAGAAAGAGAACTGTCGGGGTTGGTGCCGTCTCCTCTGAAACCACGTCTTTGGCGGGTAGCGAACGAAGCATCGGACGTCTTTGGGCCAATGGCTTTGTCATGCTTGCTCTCCAAACAGAGGCCTGTATTGTTAAGTCCTCATCAAAGCCAGATGAAGGGTCCAAAGAGAGTTGGTTGGACTATGTTGGCTGGGCGAAGGAAAGGCAAACAAACCCTGCCTAAAGGCTGTCCCTGGGTGTGAGTAGACACGGTCAAGAGGGAACCTGTCCCGCCTCATGGTGTGAGTGTGTGTTGCGCGGTCTGTCCAAACATCCCGCCGGCCGTCCATGTAGCTCCGTCCGCCTTCCAAACATCACTTTTCACATCATTATGGACAAGATTGCCCAGAACAGTAGGACATTTATGGAAAGTAGAGATGTATACCGAACCAAATATATGTAATTTCTCATTAACTATCAGACTATCATTCTATAGATGCGTCATCAATGCCATTCTTTTCATGTTCCACAACTGCGCCCCCCTCTGTTGGACATCGATTCGGGTTTGGCGTTTCACCGTGCAAATCACTCCTCCTCCACAGCCTTCATAATGGAGTCCTGAAGTGTTTTCGGGAGTAGAAACAACACGGGTGACGAGTCGGTTCCACCACGAGTCACCAGTCACGAGGGGCGAATGGAGATTAAATCGGTCTGAAAAACACTGATTTGTTGCAGATCTTTGTATACATAGCATCTCAGAGCCTCCTCATGACCGCGCCATGCGGTTCCTCAAGGTTCGGGACTGAAACCGACTGCTTCTTCAAGGCAGAATCCGAATGGATAGAATACCATCCGATTGAATCTATACTGGAAATCTAGAGTCGAGTTGAATGGCAAGTAGATATCATCAAAACAAACAAATGGTATTGACCATCAGGCCATCAGGTTTCTCTAGATGTATATATATATATATAACTGTATATGCACATAGTTCATATAATAGATATAACTATATTAGTGAATCAGTGTTGTGCGATCAAAAAAGAATGTCCCTAAATAAAAATCATCTGCTTCAGTTCTGTGGTTCAACAACACATCTGACAGTAGTTTTCAGAAGCAGAACCCCCATACATGCATTAAATACGTGTTCCTGCTTTCGCATCCAAAAATTGCAGGTTTCCAACTTCTCAACGCAGCACTCTGGAGACATACCCAGAACTTCTAATGACTCATTTGACTCCATGCCATACTTATAATCCACAACTACCATAGGGGTAAAATGAGGCATTTGGACTCTCATGGATACCACTGCCATACACCCCGGAGAACCCCGGTTTTTGCGGCCCGAGAGTCATACTTCCGACCCAGCAATTTCGTCACCTGACAGGCGAAAAACCCCCAAAGGTGGACTGGGAGTAGATGGAGATGACTTGCCAGCGACATGGGTGCAAGATCCGTTTTGCTGTGGTGGTTTGCTAGCATCGTTTTGCTGGTTCCGGTCGTTCAGGTAAGCCTTTGGTTTCGGATCCGCAAGAGAAATGGCCTAGCAGACGGGTACAGAAACATAAAACATTGGTTTCAATGGGGACTGGGTGTATGGCACTTTGTTTCACAAAGGAGTGCACTGTTTGCAAGATGTTTTGATTCATCGTCGCAATGTTTTACCTGCTTTCCTACCACTTTTCCCAGCCATGCATTCCCAAACCCAAAAACGTACCCTATAAATAATTTGGTGGTTTCTATGGTTATAAAGTGTTCTTTGTTTGAGTGTCTTTGTTTTACCCGCGTCTCAAAATGTCCGAGTCCGAATCCTCCACTTCCAACCAGTCCGGGTACCAGTAAATGTGTTTCACTTTTTGGATGATTTGCGACGCACCTGGTGTGTTTGCAGCTTGCGACCTTCACGTGTCAAGTGCCCGTTACCACTGGGCGTACGAAGTCCGTTAAGGGTTGAGATGCAAACTCATGTCGAGAAACCATCGACTTTCCGGTGGTGTGTTGCCATGTTTTTGTTGCCCAGCCTAGACACACTAAGCAATTTGTCACAGTAGATTTCTGTGTTGTCACCCCCAAATTGACCGCCTCATCAACCAAGCTCAAATTGGTAAGTGTTTTCTGGCACCGTTTTACAAAACAAGTGACAGTGCAAAACACGTAACAAGAAACACAAAATAAAAATGCCAGAACCAAAACAAATTGACGAAGGACAAAAACACACAACATGACAAGATAATGACGTAACTGTGATAATGAACATGACACATAAATCGCAAACAAACAACAATAACATCGGGTGCGTGAAAGCACGATGACAAATAAAACGACTAAAACCAACTAAGAACACCAAACATAATGAGAAACAATGAAAAACAACAACAACATATTTTAACGTAACCATTGGGTTTCCTTTGAGTCTATGGCTGCAAAAACATCTAACATTCCATGAGTTATCCTTTAACAACCCCACGTCCGCCCACCAAAACGGACGTCGAAAGGTCTGAAACCTGCTCGTAGGTCAGTATCAAGGCGTTGGTCTCAACATATTACAACTATACATATATGAAAATATCACAATCAGGCTTGAACTGCCAACTCTGGTTCCATTTGGTCTTGTCCACCTCCAAAGTTTTCCTCTCGGCACCCGCTCTCCGGGCCTTCCGCTCCCGCCGCACGCGCCGCCGCTCGCCATCCGAGCCGCTCTCGCTTTCCTCATCCTGCGACGGCACCGACAGCGCAGCGGTGGACGAAGTGGACCAGCGAGGTCGAGGACCGTTCCGGCCATTCCGGGCGATGCCGACCCGGAAGGCATGAGGCGAGGCTAAAAGAGGTCAAACCCCCCAAGGCTAGCTGAATTGCGCAGGGAACACAACGCGGAATGGTTTTGTATGTTTTCGTTTTGCTGTCCAATCACCAAATTGGAGGGACCACTGCGGTAAGACTCGGTTGGTCCACATCTTGTGCTCAGGTTTCCGAATCAAAACCTTTTGGACACAGACCGCTCGAACAAGACACAAACGTGTTTCTGATCGTGGATCCCCAAACAGCAACCAAAATACCCTGGTCATACACATGCGAAGCGACTCGGAATACCTTCAAATTGCCACTGCGGGCCTCTGAGAGGTTGGCTTGCTGCATGTAGAGGAGCTGGCAGGCAACGCAAGAAGAGGAAACAAATCGTGACAGAGTCCAATACGGTCGCCTTGATATTCATTGATTTCTCATGTATACGTATATTGCCGTATATTGTATGTTTGTACATTTAGACACTCTTATGCCAACAAATACAATGTTTTTCCTTGCGGGGGAAACGTCAAGCAATTTGCAGCGCAAGTGCGCAATTTGTCTTCAGGAATTTTGTGCCCGGAATTCGGGTGAAACATTCTTCGCCATATTGCAACACCCTTGGGTCATTTCAGGCATCGAGGACCAATCTTTCCATCGGCTACTAAGCGGTGGCAAGGATGGCTTTGCCACTCGTGCCATGCCGGGCTCGGAGGGAACAAGGTGAGAATAAAGAGGAGCTCCGGACAGCTCGGGCCCGGAATGGACCAGGGCAAAAATGTCCTTGTAATCGGTCTCCTCAATGGTGTCTGCTCCAAAGCCGATCGTTTGCAGTCGTAATGCATATAGTCTTCACTTCTTGTTGGTCTCGGTGACCAGGAGATTTGCCAAGAAACCTCAAGTTTTCTGAAGTTTCTTCGGGGCTCCTTTCACCTTTCTCCAACGGAGAAGACCCAAATATTTAGCATTGAAGTCCATAAGGAGGCATGTCTATAAGGAGGCCGGCACGAACTTCCTTTACAATTTTGCCTTCATATGCCACATCCTTGGCACTTGGGCCAACCACCTTCTGAGCTGGCCTGAGTTGGTGCAGCAGGAGCTCTCAGACTTCCCTCAGCGCCAGGATTTGCTCTTGGGAGGTAAGTTTCAGAACGCACCTCACCTTGGTGGAACGGTGACGGACGGTTAATGATTGAAGGTCTTAACGCACAAGTACATGGTCACATGGTGCTTAAAACTCAGCCATGGTGCTTTGATTCTCTCTTTTTTGCTTTGAATGGCTTTCAAACAGCATTTGCATCTTAGTAGTTGCCTCCTGACCTTGACGTACAGAGAAGGTAACAAATTGACAACAACTCTGGAGCCAGGATTCCGATTTCAATTATTAATAGTGATAGTGATGGCCGTAGGAGCACATTGTCAGAGACAATATGAGGAAAGGGAAGGTCCTTCGTGCTGGAGCTGCGGGTGTAAAGAGACGAAGTGAATGAAGGGACCGAAATCTGCAGAAGCAGCTGGCTTTGGGTGTTGCTTCCCAGAGCTCCTTTGCTTCGCATGCTTGCAACTGGCTAAGCAACTGTCGGACACGTTGTTGTGGCGCATCTTTTTGTAGTCTTCGGACAAGCAATCCTTCCGCTTCATACCCTATTCAGCTTCTGAGCCACTGGCTACTGTCGGGACGGCGACCGTGAGCCCCAAACATGCTTCGCAAGAGCAGTGAATGGGATGGACGAAAAATACATCTGCCTCCGTTCGGATTAGCTGCAAAAAGCCGAAGCAAAAAACTGGAACTGTCTTCTTCGTCTTCGGCGGAAAAACAAATGCACTTTCTTGTGGGTGACATCTGTAAAGTGCTGTAGGAAAACAGCTGATCACAAAAACGTCCACGATCAAGGGCTCTGCAAATTTTGTAGATCTCCAGGGATCAAAGAAACAAATCTGTCAAAAAGAAAGGAACCGATCCGGCATGTTCTCCCTTCAACAGGCTGGATCCAGCATGACAACCAATGAAGTCCAACATATTGATATCATTGATCTTCACACTGTTCTGATATAATTAATGATTACTGAAAGAAATCTAAACTGCAGGACTCCGATTCTTCGCTAAACAGCGCCTCATCCATCTCCTCCGTCTTCAGCTGCCGATGCAAAGCAAGCCTGTCGTCACGCCACATGTGCCCTCCAACGATTCCTTTGCAAAGAGTACACACAAAAAAGTAACTCTGGATCTTCAAAAATGACTATGATCATTGAACTTTTGTGGCAGCCGTGGCTAGTGTTTTACTCCAAAAATCATGAGACAGGGAGTGGGAGTTCTGGTGCCGGCGGGATAATATATTACATACAGTATACGTGTTGTCTTGTCCCATGGGTTTCCAGCCAATGGCAAATCTCTCTCCAGAAAAAAATGCACGACATAATCAAAAATAATCCAAGAAACAATTTTCAGAAAATGAGAATAAGTATAATGAATAATTAGGGGATCCACCTACTATTTTTCGCATCAAGAGATCTGGATGAAAAGGTCTCCCACAATTTCACGATTTACCAGCTGAATGCCCCAGCCGCGCAAGCTTGTCCCGTGAACTCGGGCCAAATTGTTCTGCTCGACCTGTTGGGTCGCCAAACGCTGAGGTTGCGAGATCCACCCGAGCAGAGATGCTTTTGGAATGTCAAAGAAGTGCACCCCCCCCAACGAACGACCAGAAGCGCCATGCTGCGCCTGTGCTGCGCCTCCTCCACCGTCGAAGAGAAGAGCCGCCAACTGTGGCGTTGTCCGCGAGGGTGACGGGAAAATATGGGTGTGTATTTGAATAGGGAGACCCCCCAACCAATGGCTTTTGGTGTAGAGTCCATGCCGCTTCTGGAAAGGGGGTCGATCTGGGAGGTCTCCCTATTGCAATGCGCGTACGCTTTGATCAATCAGTTGACCAAAAGAAACACAACAACTGATTATATAGAACATATTAGAACTGATGACTTGCGCGGGTCATCTGGGAAACGATTTTCATATGCGTGAAAGCGTGTCTGGCTTCTAAGGCTTCACTTCAAAAAAGTGGACGGTTTCCCTGAGTCAAATTCCATGTTTCGAAAACGAGGAAAACATCACTCCCATAGGGGCCGATCAAATATCACCAAGTATATCATATTTTGCCTGGCTTCGCATCAGCCGTAACTGACAGCTGCCGGTTATGTCACATTTTAGGGTTCAGGCTCTGGGTTTAGATACTTTCGTCGAGCAAGCGAAACCCTAATCACTTAACTTATTTATATACTTCTGAAGGTTTCCCACAACCCTAGACGTGCTGTACTTTACTTGGACCGGGCTTAGGGTTATACAAGGCCAATGTACTGCCTGAACCCTCCGTCGTAGCAGAAAAAAAGTGACAGAAAAAAACTGCACATCATCAAAAAAAGCGTTCATGCCTTGAAAAAGCGTACCACTGGAAAGTCAGATGTAGCTTCATTCCACCTTATGTGGTCTTCAAGTCCATTCCCCTGCCACATGCTGGCACCCATCTCATGCGCACACAACACACGCTCACACACTACGAAGCGGCAGCCAGCAACCCCTTTCTTTGATCGTCAGTATCAACATACGTAAAATATTTAAGTAAAAAAACAATCCGCCACTGTTTAAATTGCGCCCGGGTTGCGGGAATTTGCGCCCGGGTTGCAAACGGACATATTTTGCTCTTGACTTGGAAAGGATTGAGGGTTTAAGGGGTTATGGATGTTTATGGGTTTAGGAAGGTGGGCTACAGTCCCTGATCCCTGAATCTAAAATTCATCTTCGAAGCTTTTGAGAACCATTAATATTGAAAACTTCACCAAACTCAAGAGTTCAGTTTGGATAACTCTCCAAGCTCAAGTCAAGGGGGGTCGCAAATTTCCCCCACAAAGGCCTGAGGTTGGAGAAACCTCCGAACTTGGCTTGAGTTTGGATGAATTTCCCAAGTCACTGAGTTTGGAGAAGTCTCCAAATTCGGGCCTTGAGCTTGGAGAATTCTCCCAAGTCACCCAACAAGGAACACAAAAATGTTCTCCAATTATCATGCAAATCAGTAGAAATCCATTTGATTTGGAAATCCTTTAATGTCGCTGTGCTGTTGTTCGGCATAGCCTATATATATATAGTTATATATATATATATTATACAGCCTTTATAAAGTCGGACGGTGGACATGTGACATGTTAGTCGGTCAAAACACCTGATCAGCTCCCCAACTACTTGATCACGCATATTGCTTGGAGACAGCACACCCGTGCAAGTTATCAATTATAATTAGAACTCATTGGAAACCCCATAAGGTTCCTCAAAATTAGGCAAAATTCAATCCTCGAGCTTTGCCCAACAAACTGCCACAGTCTGACACTCAATGACTCCAACGGCGTTCAGCAACATCAAGTTCGGCCGTTGGACACTCTTTTGAGTTCCCTGATGAGGCTCCTCAGGATTTCAGTCACTTACAGGGGGATCAGATCGTCTGAGGAGCTATGCCTCGATTCTTTTAGTCCATCCACCACCTCCGAACCCCGCCTGAAATCAATGGGCACATCCGAGTCGTTGCGGATGGTGACCACGCCTTGCGACTCCAGGCCCACGTACGTGTCCTGCCACGCCCCAGGCTCGGCGCAGGGCACTCGCGGCGCGTTTTTTCGGCGTCGAGTGGCTCGGCTTCCAGGCTCCGAACGGGTGACGATTCATCCAATTCAGAAGAGACGTGGAGCCGAAGGTGATGGAGCAGACACAATTGACTATCGAAACTTTTTCAGAAAACACGTTCTCCATTCTTCCAGAAGGATTGAGCGCAACTGTGCAACAATGTGATTTACTCACCTGAAACGATCTTGAATCTTGATACTCGGGAAAATTACTGATAATGGTATCAAGGTGTGAACAAAGGGTGAGTGATGTCTTGTTTCTTGCCTTCTGTGACAAGTATTTCCAAACTCAGGATCAGAAGATAGTTTCTGCCTAAACTTGCCCGCAGTGATGGTGCTCAATTTAGGATGCTAAAAGTCGGTCTATCTGTGTCACCCCCATTTTGTCTGATGCTACAGCACCTTTTGTTGCAATGCATTGCAATGTTTATATCGTATACACATGTATACACGCTGATGGTATCTTCTTGTCCACAGGAAATGACTCTCTCCACCTGTTTCTCTCAGACTTCTTCTGATGCCTGCAAAAAAGAAAACACCACGTATAGCATCATCATCATCATCTGCGACTTTTACCGGTGATCGTCTCTTTCCCGTGTCGTCTCCCAATTCCCGTGGTCGTCGGCTTCGGTCGCAGAGTTGGACGGGCTCCTCGATGAGTAGCAAGCTGTGAGACAGTGAAACCTGAATCGGGAGAGGTCTGGGGCGGGAACAGGAACTTGGGGCCCGGCCGGTCTCGGTCTGGGGGAGCCCCCGCGGTCTCGGTTCAGTGAACAGTCAAGAACATGGTGCGGTTTGGTGGAAGACCTCCATCATCTTTTTGGAGGAACGTGGTCTTTTTGGGCGCCCAAAACGAGTCTATAATCATTCCATGTGTTTTTGTAGGATCCAAACCTCCGGATCCAGTATCGTCACAAGCATTCGTCCGGAAGCGCGGGATCTGGCATTACACCGACTTGTCCAAAGGCGGAGCAAGAGATGTGTTGCAAGACATGGCAAGACATGTGCCCCAGCACTGTGGGGATGGAGCAACCTAGCTGTAGACTCACTGTAGACCCAGTCAGTAGCAGTTGTGAACAACACACAAAGTATCACAAAGTGGGCCTCGAACTTACCCATTGGCCAGGGTGCTCTCCCTTTTCGAATGAATGTCATTGAATGTCAAATGTCAAAAATCATTACGCAGCATGGTGCACATATTCGGGGACAGTGTCTTTGAAAGGAGCCATTTCACACAGTTTTGACTGTTTGCAGACCTGCCCCAAAGGGGTCACAACCACTCCGAAGGTCCCCTGAAAGATTGATCCAGGCCCATCTTTCATGTCGCATCAATTCAGTTTCGGAAAGACGAAACATGCAGCCCTCCCACCTTCTTATTGTGACTTGCAGGTTGTGCTTTTGAAGCTTGACGTTGGTGCTTGTTGCATGTGGTGGCGCCGCTTCCTTTTTCTCACTCGAAGGCATCTAGATGACCGCTCGCTCACAGCAGAAAACAAGCTGCTGCATTTTGCTTTGCTTTTGCATTGGCCCACACCTGGTTCTTTCTGTGTTGCTCTCAGGGAACCCTTTGGTTGTTTTGGGATTGGGCCCCCCACGAACCCACATTGGTAGCGGAGCCCGAGGGCAGTTTGGGGGAACGCTTTTCTTCTAGGCTGCCTACTGCTTTCCTGCTGTAGCTTGACGCCATGGCTGCCATGGCGAACGGCGATCAACACGCCGAGCAGATGGAGACTGCTGTTGGCGCGGCAGCCGCTGTGCCCTTGCCGCCGGATGGCGGCGCAGATCCTTGGCAAGAGCCTGGTGGGGATCCATGGACTGGACAGGCCAACGGGACGGGCAATGAAGAGATGGGCTCTCCTGCCGTAGTTCCTGCACAGGTCACACAGACCATGGATCAAGGCCAGCCGTCGGCACCAACGGGTGAACCTGTGGTGTTAGGACCTTTGGCTCACGCTGGACAGACACAGGTCCAGCCACAACCACCAGGTTTGATGATGATGGATGGAGCTATGCCGGTGCCTGGAATGCAGCCACAGCACATGGCACATGTGGGGCCGTGTGTACCGCCAGGGTGGGGCTTTCCTCATGGTTGCATGCCACACCCCATGAACATGGCACCTCACCCAACTCCAGGGTTCGGCATGTGCAATGGATCACCACCTAGTTTTCAAGGACATCCACATCCATGCATGGGGCCACCAGTTGTTATGCCGTGGTCCACCTTTCCATGGGCTTGGTCTTCCCCAATGCCAGCACCCATCCCGGCCACCATGCCAGCAGGTCCAACCAGTCAGGCACAATCCGGCGTGCCGACAGGATCTGCTACAGGAGACAGTTGGTCCAAGCCTGCATCAGAGCAGGCCTCCAACACCAAGGACAAGAAACGCCCTGATCCGTCAGGGGCTCCTGATGATCCTGATGATGGCGAGGTATCCTCTGCACCGACCTCCGAGATCCGCTCCATGCTCAGGCAGAGGATCAAGAAGGATGGTGATGGCTCCAGGCCAAAGAGCTCACTTGGCTCTGTGCGCATTGAAGAGTACTATGGTGAGAGGTCTCGCTACATCAAATGGAAGCGGACCATTCAGGCTCAACAATGCCTATATGGCCTGGAGAACCAGGAGCTGGCGATGTTGGTGTACCTGAGTACACGCAAAGAAGCCCGAGACGTGGTGGAACAGCATCCGGTCACCTCCTATACCGGACCAGGCGGCTTGGCCTTGCTTTGGAAGGTCTTGGATGAGGCATTTGGTGAATCCGAGACCGAGCTGTTCGAGAGAGCTGACAAGGAGCTGGAGCGCTACCGCCGTGGCCCAGGTGAGAGCATCCCTCACTATCTGGCAGAGATGAGGCGGTTGAAGGCTCAGTACATGCGGGTCTCTGATCGTGCTTGGGCTCAGAAACTCCTTCACAAAGCCTCCCTCAGCAGAAAGGAAAGGTATGATGTCTACTACAGTGCAGGTGCTGTCTACGACCCCACTGCAATTGAGAAGGCTCTCCGTGTCCGCTGTGCTCATCTCCATCACGATGAGCGGCGAGCTCCTTCGAGGACACCGCATCGAGAAAGGGAGAAGGAAGATGAGGTTAGGACCTACAAGAAGAAGAAGGTGTTCATCAAGAAGCGCATCCACGGAAGCCATGTGGCTGATGCCACTGAAGAAGGAGAAGAGGATGATGAAATGCCTGAAGAAGAAGGCGGTGAAGAAGAGCCCCAAGGCCAACCAGGCGAGGATGAAGAAGGCGACTATGACGATGAGGAGGACAACATCACCAGTGACGGTGAAATGGATGCTGGAGATCTCAAGGAGGCTTTTGCAGCTGGATGGAAGGCCAAACAGAAAGTCGCCGACATCAAGAAGCAGAGGGGGTGGAAAGGCACTGAGAAGGACAAGAAAGGTGAGAAGACCAACATCGATGCCAGGAAGAAAGCCACGACCTGCAGTTCTTGTGGCAAGCAAGGACACTGGCGAGGAGATCCAGAGTGCATCAACGTTGTGAATGGTCGTGACCAGCCACACCGACAGGCATCCACGGTGCACTTCACCTTCGTTGCAGGCTCAGATGATCCAGGGGAGCGACAATGCCCTCAATGCCATTGGCCCACCACCGGAACAGCCAAGTTCTGTGGTGAGTGCGGTTTTGCTATGCCGCCGCTTGATGATCGCATGTCCTCTCAGGTGAAGCGAGAAGGTGGCGACTGGAGCGTCGTTGATGAAGGAGGAGGAGATGAACGCCCAGAAGGTTTCGGCTTCTCAGTCCGCAAGGAGTCGGTGGTAGGGGCAAAGCCAAAGCCCAAAGCCAAGGGCTATGCTCCTCCGGGCCATGTCCGTTTGAAGGGACAGGAACTCTTGGCAGCTCTTCCATCGATGACGAAGGAGGATAAGAAGGAGCTCCACAAGGCCCTACAGAAGGAGGAAGATGATGAGACGGAGAAGCGAAGAGATCTGTTCAAAAGAACTATGTCGGAGTACAGCTACTGGGACTATGACACCTATGAACCCACTGCCAGGGAACTGTTTCCAGATGCTCCTTGGAAGTATCAAGAGTGGAGGGCAAGACAGGAGGCTGAACAAGACCCAAGAGCCAGTGCATCAGAGGCCTCTGGAAGTCAAGGACCTGTGCCACCTCCACCAAGAAGCGATCGTCCCAAGGCTGTCAAGGACAAGGAGCTGGAAGCCTTTCGATGGCAGCTGTATCAGAAGCAAGTTCGTCATGGCAGGTGCATCCCTTCGACAGCAGCAGATTGGCCGACGGAAGCTCAAAGTCTATGTGCACACCCCTTCGAGAATCTCCGATGGTCAGCCAATGCAGAGGGTCACTTCGCCCGCTGCAAGTTGTGTGACCAGAAGCACGTCGTTTACTTCTCCAACCGCCATGGAGCTATGATGGTTCACCATTATCAACCTCCCGAAGGAGTTGGACCACAGACTAAGGTGTGGATTCGTGAGGATGAGAAGGCTTCCACCTATCGCTGGGTGAACAAAGGAGGACCAGCCACCAAAGATCAGGTGCGCTGTCGGGTGACCAAAGACATCCATGGCAATCTCTTGGAGCTCAAGCAGTTGACCGGTCAAGAGACACTCTCACACAGCCTTTGGATGGACCACCTCGAGCGCTTCTCACAGAGTTTTGGTATGACAGCCCTGACGTCAAGGAGGCAAACCATGTGCACTACATCCAGGCCCAAAAGCCTGGTTTGGCCATTGCTGATTCAGGTTGTCGAAACTCAGTTGGAGGTGAGGCCTGGCATGAGCATTTGCAGTCCGCTCTCAAGGCACATGGCATTCCCTGGTTGGAGATCCCAGAGAAGGAGGTCTACAAGTTCGGAGCCGGGGCACCGATCACAAGCACCACTGCTTGCCTCTATCCAGTTCTCATCCATGGCACCCCTGATGTCATTCGCTTGTCGGTGGTTGGAAAGGGCGGCTCTACATGTCCTGGTTTGATCGGGCCAGGGGAGCTCAGCAGATGGAATGCCGTCTTCCACTTCAAGGACAAGGAGATGGAGCTCAATGGAGTGAAGAAGGAAATGAGGTTGACGGCCACCAGACATCCGGGAGTGGAACTGGTGAACTTCGAGAAGGAGGCGGTGATGACTATGAAGGCATTCTGGCACTCACAGGAAGGTACCAGCAAGAAGAGGATCCTGCAGGACACCCCACAGTCCTATGCCTTCCTCACCGGACCTCATGAAGAAGGAGAAGAAGAGAGCTTGGAAGAAGTGGATGAGGAGGTGGAACCGGATCCAGGCAAGGAAGAGGCAGATGAGAGAGAAGAGAAGGTGAAAGCCTGGACGGAGCAGCTGGAGGACCTGGGCATCACCATGGTTCCAACCCATCAAGAAGAAGACGATGCCTCCAGCACAGCAACAGAGCAGTCGGAAGCTCATGCCTCCTCCACCTCTCATGAGAAAGGGGTTGATTTTGTGACTGATGATTCTGGCAGTGAAGAAGAAGCCGGAGAACACATGTCTCGCAGCTATGTGGCTGATGTCAAGACAGCCCACAAAGGCATCCGAAAGAAGCTCAGTCACACGATGAGGGAGATCAAGAAGACCTTTCAAGATGAGGAGGTACTCGAGGAAGAGGAGGCTAGGAAGGCAAAAGAGAGTCAGAGGCAGAACAGTGAAAGGAAGAAAAGGAAGAAGACCTGGACCATCGTGGAGATCTTCACCTGGACATGTGCCATCTCCATCATGGCCAACCTCCATGGATGGACTGCCTCAGAGCCAATTTCTCTGCCTCACTGGGACATCTTGAAGAGCGAAGATCGTGAGGCAGCGTTGAGCTACCTGGAGCAGCTGGATCCTGACGTGATGGTCATTGCATGGCCCTGCACTGTTTGGAGTCCGCTTCAAGCCTTTGGGAACAAATCCCCTTGGCAGCTGGAGAAGTTGGAAGAAAGAAGAGAGGAGCAGAGAGAAATCCTGGGCTTCGTGAGAGACGCAAGCCATGACCAGAGGAGGAGGGGAGGCTTGTTGCTTGGCGAAAACCCAAAGCCATCTCTCGCCTGGAAAGAGCCTCTCATCACTGAGGCCTTTGATGGAATGGGCTCCACGATCACTGACATGTGCCAGTTCGGCCTGCGACTCCCATCGGCCGGACCATTCCTTCGAAAGAGGACACGACTTGAAGGCACTCCAGCACTTGTCCGTCAACTTGGTCGCCTTTGTCCAGCAAAACATGAGCATACTCCAGTGCTTGGAGGCATGCGATACAAAGGAAAATGGATGAACGTGTCGGACTATGCTGGAGGCTATACGAGCCAATTTGTCAAGGCAGTGATCGAAGGAGCTGAGAAGATCCTGAAGGAGGAAGGAAGAAGCCCTGAAGTGCTGGTGGCAGGTCCCTCTTTCCCTGAAGAGGATTTGGAGGAGGAGCATGAGGAGGAGAAAGTGGCAAGGGTTGAGAAGCCTCAGACGTGGAGGATTGAACAACTCCATCAACGATTGGAGCATCCCACCAATCGTACCTTGTCGAAGATGCTGTCACTGGCAGGTGCATCGAAAGAGACAGTGGAGAAGGCGATGAACTATGAGTGTCCCACCTGTCAAGAGACTCAGCCTCCCGGGAGGTATCTCAAAGCGAGTCCAGAGTTGAGGACAACAATCTTTGGAAAAGAACTCCACTGTGACCTGAAGTACCTTCACGACTCCAAGAACAAGTTATATGTGGCATTGTCGATGGTTGATGGAGCCACATCTCTGCACCAAGCTGTCTTGCTTCGCAATCGTGCAGCTGAACACGTGGCCCAGAAATGCTTACGACACTGGATCTCAATCCACGGTGCACCACAGACCATGATCGTGGACCAAGGAGGAGAATTCGATGGCCAGTTCACCTCTTTCTTGGAGCAGCATGGAATCCACAGCAAGTCCAGTGGTGCAAAATCAGCTTGGCAACACGGCTTCGCTGAAAGGCATGGAGCACTCCTCGGCACCATGTTCACGTCCCTGGCTTGGCAGTATAAGGTCGAAGGAAGAGCTCAGGTGAAAGATGCTTTGTGCGCTGCAGTTCAAGCCAAGAACTCAACCATCACCCGAGGAGGATACACACCCTATCAGCTTGCCTTCGGTCGCCAGCCCTTGTTCCCTGACTTGCTGGAGGAGGATGTTGAGGGCAACATGTCACTGAGGGAGTCTTTGTCCCTTGAAGGAGAGGTGCAGAGGGCTGCAGAGATGAGGGCCGCAGCAAGGGCCACATTGCTCCGAGGTGATGTTCAGGCCAAACTGAGAAGAGCCCTACGAAGATGGCCAAAAGGGCAAGAGAGAGATTTTGAGCCAGGAGAGACGGTGTACTTCTATGCCCCGAAGCCTCTCAGCACACGGTTCAAGAAAGAGCCTGGCTTTTGGAGAGGACCAGCCCTCGTGATCGCCAAGGAGTCTCACCAGCGCTTCTTCATCAGCTGGCGAGGAAGATGTTTGCTGGTGTCATCTGCCAATCTAAGGGCAGCTTCCAATTTGGAAGGGGGCGATCACCGTAAGAGGCTGCAAGAGACAGAGGAGTTCCAAGGTCAATGGAAAGGAGATGACAAAAGATATGAAGACATGACAGAAGCTCCCATCCCAATCGAAGAGGAAGTTACAGCAAAGGAGGCACAAGGGTGGGAAGCGCATGATGGCATCATCTCCCAACGCCTGGGAGGAAGGCCCAAGACGAGAGCAAAGGAGATAGCCAAGACCCTGAGAGGTATGAAGACGATAAAGACCATCCAGAAGCACAGGATGAAGAAGGATGATCGCTTGCAACTGGATGGCAACCAGGATAAACAGTTGAAGACCATGGAGCCGAAGGAGAAGTCTGAAGATGGCTCAGTCCGAAGAAGAAAAGTTCCAAGATCGGCTCAAGCAACACCTACTGGATGATGTTCCTCAGCAGTTCAAGAAGCGACCAGCCGAGGAGACTCCGGGTCAAATGACCGAAGACCAACTGGCCAAAAGATTTAGACCATCGTTCTTCTCCTACACGATGGTGGCCACCATCCAGAAAGGCGGAAGGAAAAGAGCCAATCAATGGGCTTCCAAGAATGAAGTCAGGAAGCTTCGAACCCTCCTCGACTTGCCCATTGCCAGTGCTCGCTTTCACTTCGGAGCACGCAAGAGGTTTCAACGGCCTGTGAACCAGAAGGGCATGGCGCGAGTGACGGTGATGATGGGAGAAGAGGAAGGAATGGCTCTGGTGAGTCAAGAAAGCAAAGAAGAGGTCAAGAAACGGCCAGGAAGGAAGACTCCATACTTATGGAAGGGAGTGACACTCTTCCTGCACCAAGAAGATACCAAGCCACCGGCAAAAGCCCAACCGGTGGTGGTTGAACTTCCTGATGGCCTATATGAGGTGATGGTGACAGATGCTGAAGAGTGGAATTCCCTGGCCAAAGGCGAGATCGAGAATCAAGCCTTCTTTGAGGCCCTTCTTCTCCAGATGAAAACCAACGGGAAGGAGCTCGATCCTCGCTTCTTCAACCAAGAAGAAAGAAAGGGATTTGAAGAAAGTGACAGGAAGGAATGGGAGTCCTGGGTGAAGAACCAGGTCATCCGCCGCTTGAGCCCCGATGAAGTCAAGGAGGTGAACAAGAAGAACATCTTCAAAGCCCCAGCCCGCATCGTTCGGGTGAACAAAGGAGCCATGCATGGGCTGTTCCAGCCAAAGTCGAGGATGGTGATCCCTGGCCACTTGGATCCACATTTGGGGCAGTTCAGGTCGGATGCACCGACATCGATGTGGGTCTGTGTGCAATTGGCCAAGGCAGTGTGTGCATATAAACACTGGATGGCCCTCACCTTCGATGTCACGACGGCTTTCCTTTCGGGAAAAGAAGTGGATAGAGAAGTGTTGATTCGTGCACCTCCTGAAGGCCTTCCAGCACTTCCAGAACACGGTGAAGCAGCCGTCAAGCCAGGAGAGCTTTTGAGGGTGGTTAAAAGTGCCTATGGGCTATCAGAAGCCCCACGTCTCTGGTATCTCCGAGCCCGAGAGCTCTTGCTGGAGATTGGCTTCGAAGAGTTGGCCATGGCAAAAGCCACCTTTGTGATGAGGTCAAAGAAGAGCCAAGAAGTACAGGCGATCCTCTGCCTCCACGTTGATGATGGCCTCCTGGTTGCAGCACCCAACCAAGCCCAGAAGATCCGCCAGGCGATCAGTGAACGATTCGCCATAAAGGAATGGAAGAACTTGGCGGAGACAGCAGAAACCTTCCTACAATTCAAGACCACCTACAAGGACCACACCTTTGAGGATGACATGACGGAGTACATCAACAAGGTGGAATATGCTCCAGAAGAAACGGAGCAAACTAAGGCCCTGGAAGGAAAACAGCTGTCAGCCTTCAGAAGGCTAATCATGCAGTTGAGGTGGCCTGCACACCACGTCTTGCCCGAATACCTGTTCCGGGTCAGCGACTTGGCACAAAGGGTGGGCGAGGCCAATGGTGGCGACTTGAAGTACGCCAACAAGGTCCTCAAAAGCATGAAGGAGACGGCCTCTGAAGGAAAGGCCAAAACAAGAATTCCTCCGATGAAGGGAGAATTGCTCCTCGTCTCCTACTTCGATGCATCTCTTGGTACATCCAAGAGTAGCCAAGCTCAGCAAGGAGAGTTGCACCTGCTGACAAGCACAGATGCCTTCCACAAGCCAGCACCTGCTTGCATCCTGGAATTCCACTCCAACCGCATCCGAAGGGTTGTCAGGAGCAGCTTGGCAGCCGAGGGATGTGCAATGTCCAGTGCAGGCGATCGCCAGCTTTTCAACAGGGTGATTGCCGACTCCTTCCTGTTTGGCAAGCTGGACATCAGCTCCAACTGGCGCCGTGAGATCCGCACCAAAGGATGCTTGATCACGGACGCCAAAGGTCTACATGACCACCTGCATAAAACAGGTGGAGTTGCCACAGAACGCCAAGCAGCCTTGGACATGCTGCTGATGAAACAACTCATCGAAGATGAGGTGGTGGGTTTGAAGTGGACACCCACTTGGCGGCAGCTGGCAGACCCCTTGACCAAGGACATGTCAGGGTCACTCCTTGAGGTCTTCAAGGAATCGGCTGAGATCTGTCTGATCCAGACCGCCAGTGATGCCAAGGAGGAAGAACGAAGGGCAGGCATTCATCGCGCCCAGAGAGAACGAAGAAAGGAAAGAATGAAGAGCCAGAAGACACAACGTCAACGCCCTTTTTCTCCGATGTGACTTGCAGGTTGTGCTTTTGAAGCTTGACGTTGGTGCTTGTTGCATGTGGTGGCGTCGCTTCCTTTTTCTCACTCGAAGGCATCTAGATGACCGCTCGCTCACAGCAGAAAACAAGCTGCTGCATTTTGCTTTGCTTTTGCATTGGCCCACACCTGGTTCTTTCTGTGTTGCTCTCAGGGAACCCTTTGGTTGTTTTGGGATTGGGCCCCCCACGAACCCACACTTATAAGCGAACCAAGCCCTGCCACCATGCCCCAAACCTAGATCACCAAGGGTTTCCAACACCAGATCACACCGGATCCACCGGAGAACGAGGTGAAAACCCTTCAGTGCCTCGGCGTTGCGTGCTTGGCCCCGCAAGGTGGCCACAGCCTCTAACTCCCCATACCTTAGCGTCGCATCCGTGGTCGGCACGCGGGGGCCATGGGCCGCGTCTGTGCGTTGCTGGTCGGCACAGGTGCCGCGAAAGAGAGCGGTCTGTATGGCGAGAGAAGAGACGTGGAGTCCAGCAGAGAAATCAAGCCTTTGTTAAGAATGTTAACAGGAAATCGAGCTGACAAGTTGATAATGAGTGGAAAGTCATTGTTTGATTTGGCTTTCTTTCAACTATAATGATTTGCAATAACATGTAAAACCATGTTGAAGCTAGTTTGGTATTTTTCATCATGTGCCACAAGAAAACACACACCACCCACACAGGAGAAGTCATGCGACACCTCATTTGGAATCGGCATGTCCTCAAAGTCCCAACAGATTTGGGCCGCCAACTTGGTGAAGACTAAGGTAGCAAGTTGCTGATCAGAAGGAGACCAAGCCTCCAGCTTTGGGTTCCAAGCAGGAATATCTTGAATCCATCCACGTGTCGCAGCTCCAAAAGTCGCCCCCCCGGAAACCGTGGAAACACAAACTTCCTTTCACCACTTCGTTAAAACCCCAAGAGCCACCGGTCCCGGTGTCTCTTCCGTTGTTTCCGAGCGGCTTGATTTGTAGGTCGCATTCATAGCGCTCTGCGCGCGACGGCGTGAAGAACACGGAGACCTGCGACCGGGGCAAGCGTAAGCCCGGTGGTGATCGTTCTTAGGGGCCAAAGCCCGGGTCAACTGGTGGGGTGTAAACCACATTGATCCATATTGAGCGGATTTCAGAGTCTGTAATTCCAAGTTGGACTCATAGCCCAGGTCAGGCTGGCAGTAAAGTGGCACCATTGGCACTTAAGATTGAAATGATGCTGCTAGTTTCAATCAAACAATCCAAGCAGCTGAACAGTTTGCCAAGTCATCGGGCCAAATGATGCTGAGCTGCATGGTACTATATTTGCCATTATTTAACCCCAAAAAAGCCAAACTACAGTTCAAATATGTTCTAATGGTATCTAAAATCCAGTGGGGAACTGCTTAACATGTACCCATGATTACCCATTTATCTTCCATTTTGTGGAAACCAACGCACTCCAATGCCCCGTTTCCGACCACAGCACTGCCCTCGCCTCGTCCCACGCCCGCTAACCCCGCTGGACCGCACCTGACAAGAGGCGCCTTCTTCAAGGAACCCGTCGGGCACGTCGATGCTGGCGGGACGCGGAATGGCGCCGCTGGGAATTCGGGAATTCGGGTGGAGTCGAGGGATACTTGAGAAAAATGCAGTCGATACTTGTTATACCGATCTATAATGATTTATATATTTGCTGCAAAACGTTTCGTTTGAGAAGCTGCTGAACTACCTACAGACACAGTGGACCTATGTGACCCGGCAGTTCCTTTGCCTAACATCTGAATGGAACAATCTCAACAACGTCACTCCGAACAAATACTTCTGAAAACACAGTTAATTATGTTTGTTTGGACACAGTACTCAGGTGCTGAACCTTCACCTAAGGTTCAGGACCCTATGGGGTACTCAAAAGAAGAGTTTGGACATCTCGCGAGTCGTAGTAATTGCCAAGTAGCTGGGAACAAACCCCCATGCAGGTCATGTCAATGTAAAAAAAGGAAACGTGCCATGATCGTGCATGGCTTCCTGTTCTGCCGCTCTTCTCTGGATGGGGACACTTCGGCACGGCACGGCACGCTTCGGTCTCTGCCTAAAGGGCTCTGTCGTCCGACAGAGCAGCTTCGAAGCGCGGTCACCCACGTTCCGCACCAGGACCGTCCGCTCACACTGCGCGCGACCGGACGGACGACGGAGGACGGAGGAGGGGTTGGTCGAAAGAGGTCGGAAGAGACTTATTTGAGATTCCTGTTCCATTGGTTTGTCTATGTCTGTGGAAGTAATATGAAGTAATGGGAGTATCATGGAGTATCACTTGCGATATTGTTCCCTGCTTGTCTCAGGACCTACTTCAGCGGATTGATGTTCAAGTACGGAGAACTTCTGCTGTATACCATCAACAAGTATCATTTCCAAGCACTCAAAAGCGCCAAGTTTGGGTGACGGAATTGATTGATCCCTATTTAAAAAAGACGAAGATGTTTGGAGCAAGCGCGTCGCAGGTTCATGCTTGTCAACCGAAAGGACGTCAAATGCCGCAAGGCTTGTCAAGCAATTGAATCGATCTGCTCAAAAGCCACCGTCAACTCGTCCAAAACGAGTTGGAGATTTGTTCTTCCACTTTGAGCGCTGGATGTGTCACACAGAAGTTGAGCCCGGCCCAATGAAATGAAACTACAAAATCCTTTGCCCTTGTTCAGCCGGTCGTAGCAGTGCTTCCAGGAAAAACATGGAATACGATGGAGTCAGAAGAAGCATGAAAACGCAATGGTCTCAAACCAGGCAGATACAGTCGCATACACTTACAGTGCGATAGCCTTAAGTGATTGGTCCACCCCTATTGTCCCACCCATTCGCGCGCATTCGCGCAGTTCACCTGGTAGCCGACGATGCACTCGTCCCCGAAGTCGATGACCTGAGTGTTTGGTCGAAATGACCTGACCTGTGAAGCATGGTTGGCCCAGGGATCCCGTTAGACATCCCCAACACACCTGACATCACCTGACCTTATCTGTCTGTCTGTCTGTGTTGATGAAGACAATAAGACCTTGTTCAATGGAACAGAACGGTCTATTTGGAATATTCATCGATCCAATGGCCTTGGACAACATGCAACCAAGCAAAAAATGCTTGCTTAATGTTTCACACAATATATATATATATTAATATACGTACAGATACGTACAGCTGTACATGAAACATCATTATACCGTCCCTACAGGGCTCCAAAATACTCCAAGACTATCCTCAGAAGGTATAGACCCATGTGCCCTGGCACGTCTCGGACGTCTGGGCGTCCGACGTCCGGGAAGTCCAGCAGGGCGGAGCCGCCCGAGGCGCGGATCGGCACACTGGCGGCCGTGTCGCGCGGTCGCGGATCGGGTGGCGCTCGCTTTGGTCAAAAGAGGAGTGGCAAGTGGAGTGGAACACCATGGAGTGGTCATGTCTACTTCTTTCACTGAGTCCTATATTATGTGTTCTGGTTGATCTTGTTGGCGACTTCTTGGCCTGGTGACTTCAAAGGTTCCCTAGCAGCCACAGTTTGAGATGAAGCCATGCAACAGCATTTCTTCAGGACCAACAAGAAGCCCTTGCATGCCCTTGCCATCCAGATGGGTATATCTTCGTAGGGTAAGAACGACTATAAATCAGGTGATGAAGGGCTTGCCTGGTCGAAAAGCACGTTCCTTCCACTGGTCAGGATATCTATCTCAGCACCCTCACTGACTGGGGGGCCAGGGAAGAGACAGACAGGCCCCTTGGATCACGGTTCAGTCCACATCATCCAGTTCGCACCTGGCCATATCGATCTATGAGGGCCCAAGCGAGACGTGAGACGATCTGAAGCACGTTCGGATCTGAAGGACGAACTTGTTCTGCATGTCGACAGTGAAATAGGTGATTTGGAATGAACAAGTTGGAATTCAACCAAGTTCTTCTATTCGTCCGATCACTTGTCCACCAAGTTGAATAGGTGATTTGGAAGAGTCTGCCCTGCCCGATGGTGGCAATGCGCGCAAGTGACGCAAGTGCTTGCTGCGCTGGACCGAGGTACACATGTACCGTCCGTGTCCGTGGCGGAGTTGTCCGTGGGTGCACAGACCGTCGAGCGCCCTGCGGACCCTCCAGGGAGCCCTGCGCCTTGAAAAATGACAGTTCCGAAAGGGTGGAGACTGAGGCGATGAGGGAACTCACATTCATCTGAGAATCAGCAAGTTGGAGTGGTGAGTTCCACACCAAACCCAGGATCAAAGTTGGCCCAATGCATAATATTAGATCATTTTGGTATCACTCGGTATCACTGTAGATCACCTCCCACCCCCCAAAATAAGGGCCGTTCTTTGGGGGGTCACCAACTCTTTGGATTTGGGTGGATTTTCGTTTGGATTGAGCCCACGTCCTGGCGCATAATAAAAAGTCTCTATGCACCGGTCAATCGTCCGACTGCGCCGACTCAAGTGGGTGCCGGTCAGGGGGGGTTCGAGATGGGTTTCTGGATGGCGATCAGTTGTTTTTTGGTCACCTCCCCACCAAAGAAAGCATAATAAAGAACAACAAACAAACCATCAAACCATACGAGTCTGTAACTTTGTCATTTAAAAATATTCTCAACCCTCTTGGCAAGTCATATTCCTTTGCTTCAAATCTCGCCCACATCCCACATCGGTCCCTTTCCGCACCTGAACTCTTCTCTTTCAGTGACCTCACCGCACTCTACCAAGAGGCTGCGGGATGCAATTCTGCGGATCCAGTCGAACACAGGCGGTGTCCCCAGTTCTGCCAAGCTTCTTCTGCTTGCACATCACAACAGCCAGAACCAGTCGTTTTAGGGGGTGCAACCAATGGGCTGCCCAGCACTCACGAATCTCCAATGGATCCGCGCCCCAAATCTGAGCTCTGCACCACCTTCAAGTCGTAGCTGTAGTCTATTCTGGCCAGGGAGTTCAGGCACTGGAATGTTTCTGGAGAGATGTCATGTTGCCGCGGAATAGATCTATCTTCCCACAACACCTTTGCAAACGTGTTTGCGTGTACATACCTAGGGTCACCGCAGGCAGGAATTCCTGCTCGAACGTGGTTCTATAGGTAATTTATGTAGTATTTTGATGCTATGTATGATATGTATACTGTATCTATTCATCTATCTAGGGTTTATAAGGGTACTGTATGAACAGCCCCAAATAACAAAACATTGCCCTTCTTGGCATGAGGCTGTGTCATCCCTTGAATAGAAGCGAACCTTGAAAACCAATTCCTGAACAAAACACAGAAAATGCAGCAAGCACAATACATGCAACAGCCCCCCAAAAAAGTAGCAACATGGTTGAGGATCCCCCTTGTGGAGGTCTCTGGGGTGAGGGAGTTGATTTTATGAAGAAAAGTCATTTATAAAATGGAATCCCTCAGGCTGCTGCTTTATAAAATGAGAACCCGGCCTTTTTATATAATGGCGAGACAACATACAAGAGCAAAAAAAATGAAAATCCGCAGACGCCTTTTTCTCTTTATGGAATGGCTTTCCATGAATCGGTGAACATTTTGATCCGAAAATGGTCCATGTTTATGGAATGCTCAACCAACATCTTGCTGTGGTTGTGTCCACTATACGCACTATAAGTCTAAAGCCATGGGAGCCTGCATGGGACTATCACACTATAACGAGCCATTTATGGTATAGCACTATGGTGGCTATAGGCTCCATGTAGGCAAATCCTATGCAGGACTAGTTTCTATTAACTCTTTTTGAAGAAGAATAATTCATTCAAAACATCTCAAAAGAATGAAAGTCAACTTTAATATCAAAACAAGGGAGCAACTGTGCAATTTAAGACAAGTGATAGCAACCGAATCAAAACATGTCCATCCATTTCCCATCATTTCCCCTGCCAAAGACAATGCACAACTTGAATGTGGCACATGGTGAATGCTCAGGTTTTGATCAGCACACAAAATCATGTCAAAATAAATGTTCAATGAACATCAATGAACATATTAATGTGTGCAGTGTTTTTCCTTTTGGCATTGTTGTGTTTCACATGTTTTTGCTTGCAAGTTTGTTGAGATGATTGCATTCGGTTGCTATCACTTGTCTTAAATTGCACAGTTGCTCCCTTGTTTTGATATTAAAGTTGACTTTCATTCTTTTGAGATGTTTTGAGTGTGATTCTTCTTCAAACAGAATTCACAGAAACTAGTCCTGCATAGGATTTACCTACAGGGAGCCTATAGCCACTATACGGCTATACCATAAATGGCTCATTCTGGTGTGATAGGCCCATGCAAACCCAGGTATGTACTAGAAACCTTGGTTGTAGAGCCACTATTGAAAGGGAGCCAACCTCAACCACAAAGCAAAAAAGTGACCCAAAACGCGGAGGTTGGATCGCCTCATTTTATAAACCTCACCCTGCCCATCGTATTTGTGCACACCCTCCCAGGGAAAAGCTGGTAAACCCATTTTATAAACCTGTTTCCCCCTCCCAAGGCCCATCGTATTTGTCCACACCCTCCCAGGAAATAGATGGCAAACCATTTTATACATAATTGTCCCTGCCAAGGCCCATCGTATTTGTGCACACCCTCCAGCTCTTTGGCAGAGGGAATGGTTTATAAAATAGCTTTCCCCTGCCAAGGACTATTAAATCCATTGGCAAACATGTCAAAACCCATTTTATAAACCTTTAATCATAAAATGGTTCTATTCTCTCACACCCTTACTTGTTTATAGAATGAGCAACCAACATCTAGCTGTCTCTATGTTTAAAAAAAACCCTGTTTATAAAATGTACATAGGAGCCAAACCGACCTTTTTATGAAATGACGAGACAAGATGCATAGGCTTTTTTTTCAAAATTCCGATTTCCGGAAACATTGTGCTTTTTATGAAGTGAGTCCTGGAAAAGGCATTTTATGTCACCAGGATCCCCATTTAATAAGGACCTATGCAAGGGGGATGGTTGAGGCATCTTCCGGCAACCAACAAAAAAAGTGGTATCAAGTGGAAAAATCAGTCACACAGGCAAAAAACAAGTGATACATCTTCATCAGTAGAAAAAACAAGGTGTCCCCATAACCCTTCCCTGACTCAAGGCCGTGCCTCGCATCTGGCTTGAAACGCACCACGTAGGACACTTCCATTCCAGGAGCGATCTGGTATTGGCGGTGAAACGAAATCCCAGTGGTGTGAGGAACCGCTCAGTAAGGCAGTTGTGTCTTTTTGTTAAATATGTTTTTTGATGTGTTGAAAAGCAACTGATCGGACCGGCTTGTGCATGAGCATTCCTACTGGTGCATGGAGCACCGGTGATCTACGCCGCACCAAGAGCTTCTCCAACCACCTCCAAAATATGATCTGTTTTCTGAGTCAACACCAGAAGAGCGATGTAGCTGGAAAGCGGCAACGGACTTTCACTTGGACCACTCCCCCTTGAACGCAGTTGAACAAGTAATAACAGAAATTCCAAACATATTCCAATCACGGTGATTTGAATCCTCTCAAAACCCCATCAAAACCCCATCAAAACAAAGGATTCACCCTCATCAAAACCCCATCAAGAGTTGAATCCTCTCAAACCGCACCGTGCAGGACATCCACGCGCCGAACGCCAACGCCTTATCCCTGGAGACGTCGCTGGACGCGACGGTACCGCCCTTCGCGACCCGGCGAGCGGGCAAAAGCCTGGAGTGAAGAGATGGTCAGATGGTGCGGAGGTTGGGAATCATGAGCAAATCAGTAAAATCAGAGGCCAGCTATTCAGTTGGAGGCCATCGCTATTAGGTTGGAGGCCATGACTACTAGTAGACAGAAGCTGCTAGGTTAGGTTCTAGATGGGAACATCTGGGAACCTGGATATGTTGCTGTCGGATAGCAGGTGTTTGATGGTTTGATGAGGATTTGGGGATGGTGCAAACATGTGCAAACTGTCAATTTAGGATCACTCGGGGAAGTCCCTCTTGGATTGAGTTTCATATCCACCTGACCTTGAAGATTCTTGAAGGAATCCATACCTATCTCTGCCATGGGCTCAAGACAAGAAAGTATAGGATTTAGCACCCTTACGCCCTTAAGACATCTTGAGACAATGTTTCCAAGAGTCTCCTGTAGCGTGAATGAACCATAGCCAGACCTGCATTGGGGCTTTCGGACGCTTTGGTCAACAACCCCCTACTACATGTCTCAGGATGTTCATCATCCAAGCGGTGATTGGATGTCGAGCCCCCGAGGGTTTCCGGCCCGAGCTGGTGCCCTTGCTACCGCCTCAAGTGGCACAGCGCCAACCCCATCAGCACTGAGCTCTCCCACTCGAAGAACGGGCTGTCAGGCGGGCAAACCTGACGGATGGCTGTGGATGGAGCAAAACTGAGGCGAAGCAGAATGCTCTAGTGATCGTGAGCCTTGCTTCCTTCCTTACTTACTTACTTCCTTCATTCCTTACTTCCTGCCTCGACAAAGAGTTTGGCGAATGCCTTGAAACAAGGCGTTTGGGTTGCTTCGCCCTCCGAGTTCAACTCCCGAATGTGGGCAATGTTCACATATGTCAATCCAGCCCATGTGGAATCCAAGTAGTGCACGAGAAGTCTTCCACCGTTTTAAGGTGAAGTTTTGAAGAGAAAACATGAGAAACTCAGATTTCAAATGATTTCAGTGGTCCTGAGTCCTGGATGGTCTCGAATTCGTAGCACTGTACTACACTCCCTTTCAACAATCATGGAAGTGGCAACGTTGCCCCTGGAAAGCCCATTTCTTTCCTTTAGAAACAGGGGGCACAGAAGGTCCACTTCCACCTTTTGTTGGGAGGACTTGGACTCGGACCAGATCGACTCAACCAGGACCCGGCCTTGACTCTCCGTGCGACATTGTCCTGATTCCGCAACGTCACCATGGTCTGGCGCGGTGGGTTGTCGGTGGGGTCGCCCCGGTGGGGTGAGGAGAACAGCACAAGTGTCACAAAGGCTGGAGGGTGTAGTCTAGAGTTCATAGTTCACTCAAAGGTGCCTTTTGTGGAAATGATTCACTCCTAAACCAGTCACACACAACGACACAACGGTCAGTAACTGTTCAGCAAGTGAAGTTGTTCCGCCAAGGCTGTGAAGCAGGTATTGCACTGTGCTCATGGGTGATGGTTCTTACTACTGTCGGCTGGTTGAATCAACCAACGCCTCTGCCTCATTGGATAAACACCCATTCAACACTGGCTGTTGTGTGCTAAACCTTCAGCGCGTGGTTGGGGTTGAAACACTAAATTTAGATCTGGGGATACATCCCGAACGATGTACATACCACAATTGAGGATGTTTGGGGTGCGCCCAACGTGGCCCAACTAGTTTCTAAGGCTTCTAAGACAAACACGGTGGACCTCTGTTTGAACTCTAGACTCTAGAATCATCAAGGGAAATCGGTGTGCTTCTCTGGCTTCTTGAAAACGATGTCAGAACAGCCGATCTCTTGGTTCGATCAAATCTGGTTCGGGGACAGCAATCAGCGACCTGATGAGTGTTGGAAGGGTTTACAGTAGTCAGTATATAGTTTGGTTCGTTCTGCACCTTAAGGAAAATTCAGAGCTTCCTCACAATCTGTATGGCTTCTTAAGTGGCTATTATAGACAATTTAATGTATTTTTTCCACGCAAACTTCGACTGACCCCCCAAAAAAAAACACAGCTGAAACGCCTGCACCATCCGCCCAGAACCCTAAACCGACCACCCTAGTCCCATCTCTTCTCATCCCCAAACCCTCCGAAACCACGCCGCCGCTGTAGGCCGTTGCTCGGTCGTCTCCGGCCTCGTAGGTCTGGAGCCCTTCGAACTCCACGAAGGCCACGACGGGCGGATGGACACTGGCCGGCGGAGGGACCGGTTGGGTACCAGCTACCGGGTACGCAGGTACGGTCTGCCTTCCCAAAGAATCTCATGGGTGGCATAAATCATATACATGCAGTATATAATTACATTGAGCCCTGAAGCCACCCCAATGATCCCCAATGTAGGATAATGTATATATTATATAGTTATATGGTATAGCATAGAAATTCCATGGAATGTCTGGGAATTGTGCGGTTTGAGAAAAGAATGTAGACAAGACTCCACAAGACTAGCTCTCATACTGGAAAAAATGATGGGACTGGGGTGACATGGTGAGAGCAAAAACAGCAGCAAAAAGGTCTGTGTGTGTGTGTGGGTCAAACTACATCTCTTTGGAACCCCCTGGCTCGATCTAAATCTTCATGTACATGAAGAATTTGCATATTGGTTTGGGGCCCGAAACATACATTACATAGGCCCGGTCTTTTTGCAATCTGCCCATGTACCGGTTCTGGTTGGCTCACCTGAAAAATCGTGCAACCATTTGCATGTTCACCTCGTAGAATCTCGTAGACTACGTCGTAGAGCCTTCAAGAATCGGTACACGCACCTGCCTTTGTTCCCTTTGTTCCTATGTACATCAATTGTTTTCCAGGACGGAGACGGCATGTCTTTTTTCCGAACCAAATCGATCGACAGAATTCCCATGTCATGGACTCGAGATAGAATTCTCAAATGCTCCTCTTCAAAGCTCGTCAAATTGGTCACCTCCGAAGCCATGGTCCATCAGGACACCCGTCAAAGAGTTTCCCCGAAAGCAACCCGCTTCAAGAAAACCTGTGGAGGCTCGACTGATTCAAAGGAACAGCAGCCACAGAAATGGACTGCAACCTGCAAACGAACAATAACGAACATGTTCCATCATGTTCCGCCCAACAAGAACGAGTCGCGAGTTCCTTGCGAAACTTCGGTTTCTGGGCACCAGAACGGACACATCCGAGGAGCCCAGAATTTCTGAAGACCACCACTGTGACCACGATGACCTCATGCACCATGGACCACTCAAACCAGCTCTGTGGACTCCACTCCACCGGCGTCGACCGACTGGTCGACCGCCTAAAGAGCGGTTGGTCGACCGGCACCACGGACCTCAGTCGGCTCCTTCCACAGACGGTGGAAGAAGAAGAGTCCTATCAACGGTAAGCAGAACGTGGTTTTTTTTTAATAGTGGTAGCATGTGCGGAAAATTGTGGAAGAACCTAAGAGATCAGTCGGAGTCTGTTCAAGAAACAATAGATGGCCGGATGGCCGGAAGCAGGGCTTCCGCCGCGTACGAAGCCCCTCTTTACACAATAGAGGGTGGGTGCTGGGACCCATGACAATGGAGCCTTCATGACGACGGTAGCTGGATGAGGCCGAAGACACTGGCAGCTAACTTTGAGTCGCAAAAGCCAGCACGACCAACATCGACCAAGCAACTGCCCGATGCCCCAGAACCAAACTCGTAACTCAGTCTTTCCAAGTGTGACATAGACAACATGGGGCTGATCAAAACTCAAAATTCCACCTTTTGAATGCAAACGAGGACAACATCTTCTTTCGTTACTATCGATGAGTCTCTATGAAACTGCTGCTACCTGTACCTCGCACATCGAGGAAACATGTGCAACATCCCTTCGTTCTTTTCCGGGAGGACCTTCTGAGAGTCCAAGGCCTTGGTCTTTCAATTCAAAATCCGAATGAACAGCTTGTCCTTTTTTTCGACTTCTTGGAGTCATGTTATGACGAAAGCAAATCATCCAATACTACATCCTCAGGCAATTGGATCCCCAAAACCCGGATGCTCCGAAAAACCTTCCAATATGACTTCCAAATCCGGACGTCTTCGAAGGACCAGGAGGTGCGACTCGGACGTCTTCGGGTCGCCGCACGTGGTGTGGTTGGAAAACCGTGCCAGGTCTTGGAAGCCGGTGATCCTGCAGTCCACGGAAGCGCCGCGAGCGCCACGAGGTCCAGAAGCCAATGCCGTCGTTTTGGCGACTGTGGTGTTTATATTTTGTTATGAATGGATTTGGAGTACCCGGAGTTTTCTTAACTTCATTTTCAAGATCTTTTACGAGTCGAACCGTAGTAGAAAGACCTTCTGACTTATCTCCAAAATGTGGGAAACTACGAGAGCTCATCTTCAATGTGTCATCAGTGGAAAACATAATCATCAGGATCTCCGACTCCAACCAGTCTATATTGCCGCACCGGTCACCTCATGTTCTTTCATGATTCATTATGATTTAAATTCTCCCATGTTCTCCCCACCTGAGCCAGCAAACACATCCTCCAACGACCCATCCTGAAGTTGGGACGGAGTAGGCATTGGGGGCGGAACCGTGCGGTCTGGGGGGGGGGGTGTTGGTTCCCCACGCGACCGGCGACGGCCACAGGCTCCAGGCGACGGCCACAGGCTCCAGACGACCCAGGGCGCCCCACTTGGGCTTCGCCAACATGCTCTGCACCAGGCTGAACTGAGCCAAAGAAGTGATCATCACATCAGGTGAAAAGGCCGATGTCGTAGACCCCGTGAAAGATCTGGAACATTACAGAACATCAAAGGAACCCGAAAGGCACTCAGTATGGTTCTTCTGAAACGAGTGTAAAGGATTGAAAAGGGATGAAAAGGCTTCATTGTTCTGATGTACCTAGGTCCCTAGGTCTATACTACATTTCAATAAAGTTATTGTCTTTCTTCCTGGACCTGGATCCAGGATCCGGATGGACGGTGTTCTGTCAGATTCCATGGATCGGACAAGTGATTGGAACGCTTTTTGCCGTGGATCCAAGTCTCAGTTTGGAGCATCAAATACTCTGCTTAGGATCATGATGATCATGTCAGCTTTTCGAAGCATCAAAAGGTGTCTTGGAATTTCTTGGAGATCCTTTTAGACAAACTTGGAAGGCTAATATGCCTGCGAACTTGGGACTGTTGCAGTGTTGCTCCGATTTCAACAGCCCTGCTGCGCTTAAGCATGGTGGCATGGCCCTTGCACCGTATGAACAGGCAAAACCAGATTGAGTATTGACACGCCACGGTGACAGAGCCTTCCAAGGTCATCGTGACAATGAATGGCAAAGATTGATTGCAAAATCAAGAACAAAACACTTCCAGTTTGCGATGAGATACCATGAGGCTGAGAGGGGAACAAAACGGAGCCAACTGATACCCAGAAATTGCCCAAGGGCACTATGGTCGAGGGGACTCCAACTTCCGACGTTCGACTTGTGCAAGCTCATCTCATGGTTCTGATTCCGTTTGATCCCAGCACTCCTGGCACTCCTGGCTGTCCCCCACGTATTTCTCAACATATCACAACTATTCCTTCAGGAAGTTCTGTTTTCAACCTGAGTCTCGCCTCCAAATCCCAGAATTGGATCAACTCTGGCCACCAAATCCCAACACCGGCCTGCTGCTTCTCCAGCAAGAGTTGGCTTGGTGTCCGCTTGATCGACTTCTGGCGTCGAACCGCCGTCGAATCGTCGAACCGCTGTTCTGTCTCGTTACGTCGAAGCGTCTGACGCGAAGCGACCGGCCGAAAGCTTCCTCCAAGGGCCAGGTGAGCAGAGGCAAAATCCCCGATTTCCTCTTGGTGGTTGAACCTCATTGAGGGTCCCACTATGAATTCACTCAACGTTTTGATATTTGCATAACATTATTGTATATACTATTACAGTACTATATATTACTATCTATATTATTGCATAGTGATCTTGTCAAAATAGACTCAACCAAGGCCAACGTTTGTGATTGTAGCGTTTTCCAATCTCCTGTGTGACTAAGCAGTTCTCAATGTCCAGGGCATCTCCAAAAGACTGGCACGGGTTGATACAAATTGTTGGGGTGCTTCTGAAGCAGACCCATGCAATCTAGAATCCAGATGGTCTCAATAGAACAAGAGAACAAGAGCTGAGGGTCGTCACTGGATCAAAGCAGCCGGGGGTCACAGCGGGACAAGTCCCACCAACCATTGAAAATGAAAAGTACTACCTGCATCAGGATTCGCCGAATCGCATAGACCTCCTAGGTGGCCTAGCTCTTTATGACAAGTGCAGGTAAGATCTTAGTACCAGTCTGTATAGGATTCATCCACAAAAACCTATGGTGGTCAGATTCCTGAACTCTCCACCATCGGACCACATGTCCGTTCGCCGTCTATCCAGTCCCACCGAGGTGTTCCAACTCCGAAAACAGCAGGCCTCACTAGGATAGCCCACGGTCCTCAGAGAGGACACAGAGTGAAAAAACCCATGGACAACCGCTCAGCTAGGATAATTTTCAGAATGATCGTAGACTCGTAGATATATGCCGCCATGCTGGGCTGACAAAATAAGGACTCACTTTTGTGGTTGGTAGCCTGGGATATAGACCAGACTCAAGAGCAGGGCAAACCTCTACAAAGGTGGTCAGAAACCATTCTGGAGGGAGAAATCATTCTGGAGGATCCATGATTGGATACTTTGAGGGCGTCACAGCAACCTTCGACTGTTACGGTGCCATCTATTTTATTTTGGACATACTGGGAAGGTGGATTATTGAATTGTAATTACCCAAAGTGGATTTGTTTGATGTATGGACTATAGTGCTTCGGCTCTGGATGTCGAGCCAGAGTTCATGCTTTTTCTGAGCTCCTGTTGGCACTCGCCGCGCATGGTCATGTGCTGTGGATCAATTACAAACCCCAACGTTGTCACCTTGATTGAGGGTTCACAGAGAACCCTTCACTTTCCTTGGCAGAAGTTCTTCCAGATTGCTCACGGAATCGGAAGATCGAAAGCTCAGCAGGCGAGGCTTTCTTTGTAGGAGCAGAAATGGCCATCACGCGGTGACTGAAAGCTGGCAGGACTCCACATACATGTTCTTTCTTAAGCTAGCGGATTCGAGCATTTGGATGCGCAAGTAACTTGGATTTAAGTCATCGGTTCCGCAAATACATGTTTTGCATTGTTTTGCATTGCTTTGCACACAAAGACCTCCCCGGTGTTTTTTTGTCACATGTGAGGTTGGGAGTGCTTCCTTTCCTTGCCTTCAGCACAGAAGGTTCAAAGAGATATGTTCAGTGTGGCTGAGGGCAGAATTGATGGCAGGAGGGTTGTGTGAACGAGGTCCTTGCCCAAGTCTTGGCTGAGATTTCACCGGCTTTTCCGTACATTCCATTGAAAGAACGTTGAAGGCAAATCCGTCATGATCAATATACTCAGCCTCCAAGCACGCTTCTCTAAGCCTCCCCACACGTTGCCTCCCTGAGCATTGGGGAAGAGGCTGGGCAGGCTGATCGCCTGCGATCCAACCGATCCCAGGGTGTTCGGTGCACACGGTGTCCACTGGGCTTCGAGTGGTTCGGGTGGAGAAGACCATCCTCCACCTCACGGTTCGGGTGGTTTGAGCATGAATCGGGACAGGTCGTTGAAGGTGGATTCCAAAAGAAGCATGATCACTGTCAGGTCCTCCGGCAGGTGAAGATACATCCAAAAGCAATATGAAATATATTCAACTATGTCTGCAGAAGAACTCCTTGGGGTAGCTCCAGCTCTCCTACTTTCCTTCTGAAAGGGGTCTCATCCTCCTACCATCTCTCCCAAATGCTCAGGTGCTCTACCGCCGATCTCCCTGCCTTGGGGCCTAGGCCGCTACTCCCAGGTCCAAGGACCACCTGGCAGTGTGGCCCACGCCCGAGAGACACCGTTTCTCTTTCGGTGGGGCCGTTCTCCCACAGCGAAATCGGGTGGTGAACAGATGTGAAGACCACAGACTCGAAAGAACCGGAACGCATATTGGTTGTTTTTGTTTACAAAAATCGGAATCTCAAGTCTAAAAAAGTCCTGTGGACTCATGATGTTTCATGGTTTCATGATGCGTCATGCCTCGAGCTCTATTCGTTGGACGCCGATCTCCCGACTCTCGACTCCCTCTTGCCCCATGCCGTCGCCCCCTGTGCCATCCCCCGCTGGCCATGGTCGACTGGAATGGCATGGATTACATGGAGAGCTTCGGGATCACCATCGGACATCTAAGGACAGTCGGCCATGTTAGCAAGGACAGTCGAACACCAAGAACAGGAAGGATTACATGTAAGGACAGTCGAACACCATTGGACTGCAAATCTCTGGTCGCCGCGCGTGCGACCTGTTCCACTACCGTTGGTTCTTAGAAGACCTGGCTCGATCAGTTCCTGCGAACAACGACTCCCACAAGGCTGCTATTGAGAAAGGTTTTGTTGTATACAACGATTAGATGTATATTATCCAATGTAGGTATGTATTGATGCCATGTCTGGGTATGTATATATATATAGAAAGAGAGACCTCGGAACTATTGACTATTGGCACTCTGCCATTGAGGTCCAAAAGTCCAGGGTAAGCATATCAAGGCTTTCCAGGCGGTTCACTAATCTAGCTTGATCAAACTAGTGATTTTGGGGCCAATCTATTTGGAAGGTATCATGATAGGAATACGAAAGCTCATATTAGATCTATATACATGACCAAATACTATATATAGTACTATGATATAACATGTTCATATTAGTCATTAGTCAAAAGCATGGCAACCATGGTTGCTTATCTTACATGGGAAAGTAGTGCATCTGCAACTTCACAAGCTTCCCGCTTCGTTAGGCCCGGTTGGCCCTTCATTTTGGTCCCAAGCAGGCATAAGCTTCTGTACCGTCAAGCCGGCTGCCAGCTACCCTCATTCAACTCTAGCTTCAATGAAGCCAGGAAGCAACTCAAAGTGTTTCCAACCCACCATTTCATGAACATGATTGTCGCGAACCTTCTTGTTCGCAATTCAGGCAAATTCTTCAGCGACCAGGCCACCCCCACCCCAAAAACACTCACAAGTTGACTCGATGACTGTGATAACCCGATGGTGCACGGTGGCAAAACCCAACTCCGGAACTTGAAAGACTCCAGAACAAGGAACCTTTGGGACCTTGACTCCGGAACCTTTGGGACCAGTAGACCACATAGGGAAAGTCACTGTCAGCTCAGTCCAGAACAAGGTCCGGGTGGGTCACAGCATATGAACATATATGAACCATGACTTGCAGAATCATGGAAGCTGTAGCCATGTGGCTGTGAGTCAAAACTTCCCCCACCAAACCATGTGTGAGGGCTGCATTGTTGGTACATACCGTTACATACCAAACTCGCCAAACTGTCAACTCCACACCCCCGTTCTATGCTGGACCAACCCGGGGGCATGAAATCTCCACCAGCAATATCCTTCCAAGTTGCGTTGGCAATCCAAGTGAAGCTTCACCACACCCACAAGAGTTCTCTGAGGTCTTCGCTGTAGCCGCTGGACGTGGCTACGGGTGATGCTAAACGCGGCTAAACGCGGCTAATGGTGCGAGACGAAGCTATGATAAGCTATGGCAAGGAGCAAGTATGCAGAGGTCCAGGTCCGTTGACCTAGTGGGAAAGTCAAGGATTGACATTGGTGCCAAGGAACTGTCTGTTTTCCCTGGAGGTTGAAGACAGCAGTGTTTCCATCTGCCAGGGACGGCGGGGTTGATGTTATATAGTTTGGATATGTTTGGATGGTGTGCGCGGCCGTTGAGAGAAACTTAAGTTTGTAACAGCTCCTTAGCCTTAGATTCATTGAAAGCAACGTGCCTAGAACCATCTTATCGGCTTGATCCTTAGCATCTGTTGTTCTTGTGGTTGCATGGATGCAGCATGGTGCAAGTTCCAGTTGCAAACTCCAAACAACTCTTGCCAACATGGTGCTTTGTCTCAATGCGGTTCAAAAAGGATAGAAAAAAATCGCAGAAGAGAAGAACACATCGTTGGTTGGAGAGTCTCACCAAAATCAGACTGCCTCATGTCATATGGGGCCCAAATCGTCTAAAGCACAAAAAAGCACTGTTGGGCTTCGAGTTAAGTGCGGTTGCAATTAACACAAGTCCCCTAGCACTAACACTGAAATGTCTGATTGGGCTGTGGGTTGGGTGCCCCTTCTGTTGGGATTTTCGGGGCTTCGTCAATCCGGAGTCATAGCTTCATCGAACCACGCAACTTGCTACGCCGCTGCTACGCATGTCCTGCAAGGTCCTCCTCACACCTAAACTGTCAAAGCCTAGTAATTGCAGTGCTAGTCCAACATCTTGGACCACGCTGTACAGTCGTGTTTTTTTGCACAGCCATCTAACCTCCCGTGGAAAGGAAGCCACATCTGTGCACCCTCCCTTCCTACCAATGTCCAATCTTCCCCAACTCCGAAAGTAGATCCCGCGATCATACAGATATGATGCCCCAATCATGTTGCCCTTGGGCTGGCTCAGCTCCACCATCGCCCAACACGGGCACCCTCCGACGCAAAAACAAAGACGTGAACCATAGGAACAGTTGAGAACTGTTGATGACATCGGTTTCTCACAGCAGAATATGTTCTCCTGTCCAAGAACATGAGATGGCACTTGGTGCTTGCTTTCGTTGCACAATTACTGTTGTCACAGTTGCCGAAGCTGGAGTCACTCGTCCTTTCCTGAGATTGCCTGCAAATATACAATTGACCCACGGTTCCCACCTCAAACACTTTCAAAGAGAAACCTATGTCTTACCACTCCAACTTTATCTTTTGGAGGTGTGGAACTCTGAGGACCTTGCTAAGACAAGACTTCAAATTCGTTTCTCGGGTTCTCTGCGGCTGCGCAGAACCCCCAACAGAATGCCAACTATGCACACGCACTCGACGTGCGGCAAGGCCTCAAGGATCGGGCATTGAAAGCAACCGTTACCAGAACATGTCAAACTTATACTTTCTGGGCAAACTGGCGTGGCACAAGTGCAGGTCTTACTAGCTACATTGGAGAACAAAGCTGCAAGCCCACTTTGGACTGGGGAGTTACAAGAACTAAAGTACAACCCACCCATCACTCGCTACAAATAGCGGCGCCAGCTAGGCTTTGGACCATGGTGTCCATGTGTTCCGATGCTGCAGCCAGAGTGTGGCGTCACAAGAAGACTACAATCCATCATTCTGTCAATCTATATTTAACAGGCCTGTTTTTAATCAGTGGTTTCAGAGTAGATGGCACAATTCCGAAAAAGTGGTTTACAAGGATCTCCATCCAAAAGACATCTTGGGGTGCCAGTGCCATCTACTCTGATGGCCCACTGTAGATGGCACTGGGCCAACCTGCAGCCGTGTCACATCGAAACGAAAACCGCAGCCACCCAAACCTACCCACTCGCTCCGAAACATGCGCTTACATCCCAAATGATGCCTTTTCCCATGTGCATCATGTGCAGCGACCTGGACCTGGACCTTATGTGACAAGCAGTACTATAGAGTGATGCACAACTGGACCTATTCTCCAGCAAATTCCACATGCCACGGTTTGCGTTTAAGGCGCATCTTTCGCTAGCGATGAGGATGAGGATAATCGAGTTCATCATCTTCCTGCGCCGGTGCCCAAACGGTCCAAACGCTCTATTTGTTTGCCTCTGGAGAGGGGATGACAGGGGACTCCGGTGGCTTTTGGTTGAAGATTTGAGACTTTTCTGGTATCAAAATGTATCAAATATAATATATCAAATACACATCTCACCCAGTTTGAACACCACGTAAGGATGATGCAAGGATGTAGTATGGGCAAAATCGATTTGAGTATCAATCTGTGTCGGTGGTCTTGGTCGGGGATCGGCACCCGTCAATGATGCCAGACTGAGAAACAGTGAACTGTATAGCCACAAACAAGTGCAACACTACCAAAGTCCCGTCCATACATGCTAAGCTCCTCTTGAAATCTTGCAGTTGATGCATGGTAATCCCTGCCTCTCATGTTCACAGTGCATTGGGTGTATGTCCACCGACCAACGAGTCCCCACTGCCCAACGACACCGATGGCGCCCCCGGTGGGACTCGGTTCCGCTCCAACGACAGCGCCGCACGGGACATCACGGGATCGAACGGTGGGTCCGGGCCATGACGGCCGACGACCTCGTCCGACCTCGTCCCAGCCAGCGTCCAGCCACAAAAACATGCATACAAGCCAGGAATAGATGGAAGAATCTCTGTTGCTGTGGAAGATGATTCTGTCAGGGGGAAGAAATCTCTGGGAGCATGTTTCAAATATGCGCTGCAATCAAGTTGTGATAGTTGGATGACCATTCGTGCCGTATATATGGCCTTTCTCAGGCTTGCCATCACCTGCTTCTTGCATCTTCCGGCTGTTGCCCGCTTCTTCGGGAGATCCGGACACATCGATGTGGGCACCTTTACGAGAAATCCGTCCTGTTCCATCAGCAGGCTCTCCCGGTTGTCATATAACCAGAAGGCGGCTGCATCAAACAGCATCGACCTCACGGTCGCGACACGTTGCTCAAACTCGGACCTTCCACATGAACGCCCATCTAGGATAGGACGGTCATATGTCAAGGTCGCTACGGTCGCCTGGAGCTCCAAGAGCTCTAGCAACATCGGGATGATGGAGCGGGTTTTGGAAACATCTCATCTTGAGGGAGATGTTTGACCAATTCGAACACCCAAAGGTCTCCTGCTGCCCTAGTTCCAAGGATCCCTACCAAGAACCGTCCAACACCTCAAATCATATCCAGCGCAAGAGCCATAACGAAAAGGACGGCCGTCATGAAGGCCGTTCGGAACAGCCAGCAGTACCAAGTGGCCCAGAACAGCACGGCTCCACCGGTCCGGTCCAATCAGGGTTTTCAGGTCCGTGATCCGGTCCACCCGTCTCGAAGCGCAGTCCGACTGGAACAGTAAGGTTCCCGGTCTGCGGGGGACCCTGGGACCCTTCGCCCATAGGTCGTCTGGTAGGTGCCCTGGTAGGTGCCCAAAAAAAGATGTTTAGCGCCCATGTCCGGTCCTGCACGTCCTGATACCTTTTATCCCACACCTTGTGTTTTTGTTGATGTTTTTTTACACCACCATCACATATCCCTTAGAAGTCCAGCAACGAAACCTCATCCAAAAACAATGCCAAATCAAAGCAGGAAACCAAAACGCCTCCCACGCCACTCGAAAATCCACGCATAAACACCCACTCGGACCCGCTCCCTCCACTTTGCTGACGGCAGTTGTACTGGCAAACCACTTGGAAGCCCGGACAGCACGGTGCCACCCTGGCTGCAGTGGAGCAAATCATCCAGCGTGATGATGCCAGTCCTTGGGAGCAACAAGCGAAAAACGCCGACCCGTCTTCTCTCTCTCTCTCTCTCCCACGCACACACAGAACAACGAGGTGATCAGAACAGGACCAACAAAAGGAGCTCACCGCGAACAGGCTGAAATCACCCAGAATGCAGCCCGGAAGCCACAAAGAAATAGACTGCTGAGCTCAGTTGAAGCAGTCAATTAGTAGCAAACACCCTTCTTCTTAGCTGCATTCGCAGAGTTTGCAACCGAACATCTCTTGGTCATGGTCACCTCGGACTAAACCACCACCTCAAATAACAATCACCCACCTCGGGTCTTGGTGCACGTGGTTGGCATCACATGGCCCAAACGTACAACGTACCGTCTGAGCACATGGTGTGTGCATCCTTCGTCCAGGGCACGTCTTGGACCTGACCATATCGAAGATCTCGTCCTTCACGTCGTCCACGGAGGCGATCTCCGAACCTGCGGAAGGCTCGCGGCGTGAGTCGCGTCGGTCCCAGGTGCTGTGGGTCGTGCAGTTGTGCGACATCAGTGACTTAACTGACTTAACCCATTATGACCCACGGCTCATGATGCATGCATTCTGCATGCCCTACCATGCCCTTTCTGGAGGTCTTTCTCCAGCTTTGTCCCCAGGATTGTGGTCACGTTTCAAGTGGTCGAACTTGGAGAATCTGCGTTGCTTAGAGGTGTTCAAGGCAAATGGTCTGTCCATTTCTGTAAGTCTATACAATGACCCAAAAGAGTAAGAGGAACCTCAACTCCTGATTGGGGGGCTGTTATATAATCGATATGGATAGACACCGCCTATAATGTGGCTATTGGTTTGACGATTGTTGGACTGATCTTTGGCGCACGCACAATCGCAAGCAACGTACAGAGTCCGGAACACATTTAGCTGCTTATGGAAACCAGGCGAAGCTCAAAGAATGATGCAGAATGCGGGAGTTGTTTTGGCATGTTTGGAGTTGTCCAGTGGCACAGAATTGCTCTTCAAATCTGTGTCTCGAGTACATTTAATTTGCTATTCAAATCCTCTAGTAGCAAGGGCATCGCAACTAGTAACAATGTGCATCGCTACGTTCGTGGCGGCTAGAAGCTACTACAACAACAGTAGTAGCTTCTGGTGCTTAGACTTAGACCTGCACAGAATTGCCCGGCCAACGGCAAGGTCGCGCCTTTGATCTGGCGCAGCACCTTCACGATGGCTCGAAAGAAGTAGTTGATGACAAAGCCGTCAATGCCTAGGTCACACATGCGAAACCTTTTGCGACAGTTGCTTAGAGAGTGTCACTATTCAAGGACAGTTGTGCAGGATTCATGCGTCACAAGCATCGACATCGGAATCCACATGAGCCCTGAAACCTGAGAGCGGATATGATGCTCTTGGGAGCCACAGTCTGGAACAGGAGACGGGCCCAAGGAGAGAGGAAGAAGCGGGAAAAAGCACATGCTCTGGTCCCTCCAAGAACTTGCATCTTCATTTTGAGTTTCACTTGGGAGCCCAGCACATCAGCACTGCATGTGCGAAACACAAACGAAGGGCAAAATGGATTGGCTCTGTGTCCCCATCCTTTGACCCCTTCGACATCCCACCAGCTCAGCTTAGCAACAGCCGGTGTGGTGAATGTCCAAGAGCTTCCAGAAGTACCGGACGGCCTGGACAGCGAACGGCCCGTCCGGTAACCCCACGAAAGGCCGCAGGCGAAAACAGGGGCCCGCGCCCTATTGTGACCGTGAGTGAAAGAAAACGACTCAGTGGACTCAGCATCAATACAATCCTATAAATTAACTAAAAACCATCTATCCAGCAGAGACATGCTTGAGACAAGCAAATGTGCGTATGCAAGGGCTTTCGGTATAACAGTATCTTCAATTCAAGCAACTAATTCATTGTCTAAGTCTACATCCCTCCTACCACGCGGAAGAAGAACCAAAGTTCTTTGCAGAACATGGAGTTCTGGTGGTTCCGCGGTTCGACCCCCCTTCCTGATCCGATGACAGGCTCGGCGTGGACCCCCTGCCTAGGAATGGAAGAACCTCTTGCTGTTCAGGGTCCTCCCAAAGACCAATGAGACCTGCTTGCTTTTTCCCAAAGCCACGGGGACTCTCGATCTGATGGTCCCAATTCCGAAAAATGGCGGCGCGCGCTTTCGCGACCTGAGGAGTACCTTTGTTCTCCATTGCCAGGACGAAGTCCAAGAAGGTCTTGTAGTCCTGGATTCTGTGCCGAAGCAAAGGTATGGTGCCGTCTGGCGGTCTGGCGGGTTCCGCCAGATCGTTCCAATCCCCACAAGCCAGGCACGGAACGTTCGCACGGAACCCGATCGATGACTCGCAGTTCTACACGATGTTCGCAAGTGGAAGTGGTTCAACTGTTCAACAGTTGCAAGAACGCCACTCAGCTTAGGTGAAGCAAGTGAACTCAGTGGTAGAACTGGTGTCAGCAAAGGCAGGAACGAATACCCCATTTCATGGGATTCCATGGGACCAGAACCGCCTGAAGAACCGCCTGCCTTCTGCATTCTGGGGGGCATTAAGCAATTAAGCATGTCCTGTTGGGTGATGAGTTGGATTGAAGATCTGACCTAAAACCATCCATTTCCAACCTTTCCAAGTTCTCAACCTCAATTTGTCCCCGCAGGCCACCATGCCGGCCATTTCTGTGCGCAAGGCAGCGAGTCGGCGCTTCCTCTTTCTTTCATAGCCAATATTAATAGTAGACTAATTCATAAAACCCACCAAACATGGATGCGCTAAAAACTCTTTATATGGGGGGTTGAAAGGTTGAAATAGAATCAAGAGTCTAGCAATTATCTCCCCCCGGCTCCCTCCCCATCTCTCGCCCGAAACGTCTGTCCATCTCTCGCTCGCCCGTCTCGGCGTCGCGATAGGTCTGGTACTCCTCAAAGACCCTCGGAGGGAGTTCCCGTGATTGACAGAATTCAACTAAGGTGGGCTGAAGGCACAAATGACACCAGGACCGCAGGCCCGTCCGTGCCTCAATTATTAGTCTATACTATTTACTACTCTGTTGAAACTCTAGAAAATCAAGATTAGGTTGGCAAATCAATGTCAGCACGGTGCAAAGCCTTTAATAGTCTAATAGTCATGATCTTACAAATACCACTGCTTTGTCAATGTGTTTTTCTGCATTGAAATGCATTGGATTGCAGGAACTGCGCCGGCTGACTGTGGCGGGAAGAAATCCGGCGCCCCTTAAGGTGGGGAATACCAATGGAATACGCCACCATTGATACAGGAGCTGGACAAGTTGACTTTCTAGAACACACATCGCACAAGTAAGGTCACCTGTGGCCTATGTATATCTCTATATATACTGTATATATATATATTAGTTAATCATAGTTAATCTAATTTGCTATCCATGACGCACCAACTCACTACACTCACTACATTGCCTTGGTGGATCACCACCGTCCTCGTCTTCCCCATCGGTCCCGTCTGGCCCGGACTGGAGTCCGGCCTGTCAATGAACACGTCGGTGAGCATCCCACTCCCGAACCGCGCCAACTCGTTCCGGCTGAGCATGCCATTCCTGCGGACAATGCGCCGAGAGGCCGACCAAGCCGACAAGTGGCCGAGACATATTGAGACTGCCGTTGTAGTATTCACATACATTGGCCCACCAGCAAAATATATTCGGAGATATTCGGTATTCGTAACGTTTGTGGATTGCGTGACTTGTTGGACGGTGGATTCAATGGTGTTTATCTCCGATTCTCGGCCATCTATCAACAGAATCAGGAAATCCTGCGATCGTGCCAAATCAGTTGCCATGACCCTGTGCTGCGTGCGGCTGCCCGGGCACTGAAAACTAGGTGCCCGGCTGATCATTGTCTAGGAACAAGTAGGCGTCATAGACCTCTCGATTTACATCTTGCGTGGTCGAGGCATGTCGAAAGAGCAAAAACAACGTGTCTTCTCCAAATTTATCGAAGAACCCTCTTTCTTGGAGGTTGCGGTCTGCCACGGTTTGCAGTATGGCGGCAGACCATGTTTTAAAGAAAGTCGCATGCGTTGGATTGGCATATCAAGATCATTCCTAATCCCAGCTTATCCAGGATGTGAACTGTGCTGTTGGAAGAAACTCTGGGATCACCCTGCAAACAAGCAGCACCATGCCGGCCAGTAAAACCTCCCAATGTTCAAAGGCTATGATGCTGGTCTTGCCTGAGAAGAGTTAATGTTAGAACACCGTGGCAATCTGTTGAAGGTGGGTCCTCGTGAACACCCAAAGCCATTTGCACAGGCCGACAAGGACTTCTTCTCTTGGAAGAACACCTGGACCTAGGTGATCTCCAATCACTGCATCACCCGCAAATAACACAAAAAATAAAAACAAAATTAAACTGATAAAAACATGGTTTTTTATAGTTAATAACACCAAGGTCACTGGCGGGGTTTAGGTGCAGGCTATCGCGCTTGCGCCTTGAGAGCTGACTGCATGCTGAACCAGTTGTGCTCGGCATCCCCCAGGGGGTGTTCCTGTCGGAGCTCGTACCTTGGAATTCGGATCGGGTTCCCTTCTTGTAAAACCGTCCAGGATGATTTGAACATATACTTGAACCAAAGCATCCAATACAACACCTGTGGACACAACCTGTACAAAGGTTCTATGAGCTGCTCTTGGAAGTTCTCAGCTCTGAATTTGTAGTTCGGAACTGGCACTTTCATCTCACTTGGTCTGTGAAAGAGATCTGCGAATCCAAAAAACAGGCATCCCGAAAAACAACCCGTGGGTTGCGGTGGTGCTTATATGCGGTTATGTAGTCATGCGATCATATATACTATCATTTGCCAAAAACGGGGCAAAAGGTACCCCACTGTAGCAGCTGCAGTGTACTCGTCTTGAGTCGCAAGTCACATATCTGGCACACCGAAATGAAACTACTCCGTAGCCACAAGTCCGGTCCAGCCAGTTCTTTGCCCCAAATTGTTGGCGTGGAGGACCAACACTCGTAGCCCACTGTCCCAAATGACAACCTTTATCGTAAATAGATGCATGGTAAAGGGTGTCAACAAGCAGGGTTTTTGCGAACGTGATCACAGAAACAAGTGCAAGATGGCAATACGATGCAAAAGGGTGAAGATATTGTGTGATTATACAAACATACTTTAATTATACATATATATATAACATAAACCTTACACCGTATTTTACAGCAAATATATCCACATATTAGTATTGCATGAGCATTGCTATAGTTGTCAATGATATGTACACGACAGGCATTTAAGCCAATGAATGTTCTGCCTGGTGCCGAAAAAGTGCTTTTTTGCTCGAAACATCTTGGGGTCGGGTTCGAGCCTGCCACGGTCAGACCTCTTTGGGTTGCCTCCTTTTTTGCCAAGCCGATCCGGCATTGACTTTTGTACATCAACTCCTGGTACTCCTGGCATGATACTTAAACTTCTTCAGCTCAATGGTTTTCACGACAAGAACCATTCTATTGCCCGCAGTTTCGACTCACTTGCATACCTTTCCTCACCATGCATATGGCATAACATGGCATGCTTCCGGTGCCAAACACATCTTGCAGAAAGACTGTTATTCTGCAGGATGTGCTTGCCGCCGGGCTTTCCACGGCCCATCCCTGGCGTTTTACATGTTGTTCGCCAAAGGTGGGGTTGGAGAAATCATCGACTGCAACTTCAATTCGCTTGCTCAAATTCTTGGCGGCAACTGGCGGCCAACAACACTACACACGCACGCACTTTGCATCCCATATGTTAAGCACGAGGACTTGGAGAAGCAATTCTACAGCACGTCTGCCCCAGCAACGTTCACCCCACACACCGTGCCCAAACTGGCCACTAGCAGTTTCAACTCCAGCAAGCCCAAATGACCTGCCCTCTTGTACAAATAGCGCATTTCAGCATGCTCTGCTGCAAAACAACCTGTGGCCCTAGCTCTATAGGATATTCATTCCAGGAGGAAAACAACTCAAATCCGATATGCAAGCAAACACAGCAGCACGCCCCACTGAAATTTGGTTGGCCTGGTGGATTGCTTGAGCTGGGAAAGTGTGCAGTCATACATGAGCTGTTGGACAAATCGGTACAACAATTGCATAGTTATAGACACAAACTTCCACAAACATGAAGCTTGAAACATTCTCAACCCCAGCAGAACCCATGTTTTGTTTCACAAACCCAGTGATCCTCAAATCAGCCTAGACCAGTTGATCCACGTGGCAACTCTGGTAGGATCGGCGAGGAGAGCAAGTCCCGGATTCGCACCCGCCCCGTCCGCTTGGGGTCCTGGAGCGGTTTCCGGCTGCGACCACGCACTCGGCTCCGCCGGTGGGTCGTCCGGTGCCGTGGGACCGGGGCGAGGATGGCGGTCGGTGGAGGCGGTCGGTGTGTGGAAAGCGACGATTCCAGGAACCCGACTCAAGATGAGCGCATGCTCTGAGTCCCCTGGCAATGAAGACATGGTTGAAAGATGTTGAAAGCCCGAAAATGACAGGATGTTCGTCATAATATATGATTCCGTGTGGGGGCTTGGGGCTGCATGCTGGCCCGCAGCCAACCATTCTTGGATCCACGTTGAGGTCAACTCAAGAACCACGTCCCAGGTTTCGTGTCCTCCAGGGCTTGTCTCCTTTATGCTTTATCCGCGACCTCGGCACCCCACAAACCTTCCAGTAGGGCGGCCTAAGAGCACCCCCTCTCCCATCCTCTCCCATCCTCACCCCCCAAAATGTCGCTCCAGGTAGAAGAAGAACTTCCGGACAGCCGTGAAGACGTAGAAGGGATAGAACCTTGGAGTTTCTCCGTCGATGGATGTTCCGGTGCCTCTCCCGGTCGCCCTGAAGAGGAAGAAATGCTGCAACACCTTAGGATAGACAGCTTGCGATGTAACTGGTGAAGATGATCGATGGATTCTTTTTCTGCGTGGCTCCAAGGCTTCAAGAATGGACGCGCAAGCACCAAATCACTTGAAGACAATCCTCTAAGGTTTTGCAGCCAAAACCACTCAAATGGCTTCCAATGGCCGGTGTCCCTCCCATCGCCCGAGCACTCTGCAGCCCGAAGACTCCTCCTGCAGAGTGTTGAGCTGAGGCCTGAAGAGGCTGCGAGTCGGACCACACCAACAAGCTTTATAGTAGTAATGCCATGTAATGCTAGGAGCTACTAGTAGCGTCCTTGCTGCTAGTAGCTATGCCCTTTGTTACAAGTAGCTTCTTGTTCCTACTAGCGATGCCCTTGTTAGATGTATTTGTCTTGTTCCCGGAGAGGGCACACAGGGTAATACTTCCCCGAAGATGGGCCTTCCTGGAAGTACCACCTGTCCTGAAGGATGCTTGGGAGTCTTGGGTAGCAAAAGTTTCACCAGTTTCACCTTGCTCCCCTTGATCAATGCGCATTGATCTCAATTTGTCATATGGGGTTGATCTCAATTTGTCACCAATGTCCAGGATCTTAGGCTTTCAACCATTGGACGTTGAAACGGTCATTGAAGTCGCCTCCGGGTGACGACTACCTCGCTTCTGGAACTGACCATAGTCCGTCTGCCCGTGCTCTGGCAGCCAGACCAATCGAGGCTCGAAAATAGCCAACAAAGAATCGCACCAACCTATCAGACAATTAAGCGAGAAGAACTGGTCATGTTTGTCTCGGAAGTGCATGTCATCAAATAAACATGAACTTCCTCCAAGGAAGAGCCTGCAAACATGGTACAACATGCACGCTAAGTAAATGGCAATGCGGTTTAGTCAATCGTTGTTCGTCTTTCAAAAAGACGGAATCAGAAAATAACATCCTTCATTCTTAACCTTTAATATGTTTCATCTTCCACTACTGTACTGTACCTTTTCTCCCTCAGCCCCCACACTTCCACCGGCCAAACTTTTCTGGGTCCCAAGCATGGTGGGAATCATCTCGAAAATGAAGTTCTCCATGTCCTAAACCAGCACACTGGGCGGTGGGGAAAGGCTTGGTTGTAGACTGAATGAGCTCCGTTTAAACAAACCAGAAAGGTCTTGCCAAACAGCAAACAGGCAAAACCCCAAACCGTTCACAATCAGTGAAAGTAATTAACATGTGCTGCCATACAAAGCATGGGCTGTAGTAGCCTTTACACAAAGCCGCCATGGCCCGACGGCTTGCATAATATAAACAATGCGCGTCAATTGCAAGGCTGTCAAAAACCACATGGGAGCTGTTTGCTTAAGTCACCGTAGCCTATTTGCGTCTTCGTCCGTTTCTTGGGCTTTATACCCCAAGATACCTGGAACGCACTCTTGTTCTAAGCAGTACCTCATTTGGTGCATTCGATGTCCGCGACAATCCGCGGTGGGTCCTTCTCCCTAAGGTATCCACAGCCGAGCGCGTCGTAGTAGCTGAGCTGTACCCGCGTCTGGCTTAAATTCACCTGCAGGGCAGTTGTCATCAAAAAAGAAACGCCATTGAGTCATCGGTTTCTGCATTTGGTTGACGACAGTTCTTTTCTAGCGGCTGGAAAAATGGAGTTTCCTCTGCATAGTTCTGCATGTAGAAAACCAGGATCATGGTCAGTCCAACGGAAGGGTCACCACAATCAAGTTTTCGCACGCACTGGGGGGGTGGCCAGGTTGCTTGGGTTCCACTGAACACCTTCGCGCGGGCTCCGGGCTGCGGCATCGATCGTCCGAGACGAAGGGCACCCTTCGTACGACGAAGGTAAAGAAGGGCACAATGGCGATGCGGCCAGCAGGATCTCGTGGGAACTTCAGGAAGTGCCTCCGCTGACGTGACGGAAGTGCCACCGCTGCTTCCAAAACGCGGGGTGTAAGCACAAGAAGAACTAGAAAAAGCAAACACAACAACATACAACAACCACGTTCACAAATCATCACAATCATCTATAAGATTCATCATGAGCAACAAAACTCGTCCAACCATGATATTCAAATAGTATACGTATAAATAATAGGAATCAATGTTATCAACATTTGAAAGATACATTGTGTGTTTTTGTTTTTGTCTTAATGATCTTGGCTCTCATATCCTAAAGGGTGATTTCTATGAGGGGTTCCAAATATAGTCTGAGGGATCTCCCCTATAAGCCTATAAGGTAGATTGTGGACAGGTGTCCCTAAAACTTTGTACTGTCGTTGTATAGCGAGTGGGTGACTGTCGATGGCTTCAACCTCCAAGCCGCTTGGAGCGTCTATCCGCAACTCCCTAGCTCACTCTCCTCGACTCTCTCTCTCTCTCTCTCTTTCTCACAGGTTCTCCACCTAATGGGCAACAGATTCTAGCCGCCCAATTGGCAACATCGCATGGCTAAATGCAAAATACACCAAATATGCGTCCGCAGGACGATCCGGAATCAGAGTCCAGCAGAGTCCTTTCTTTCTTTCGTTGTCCCCGTGTCTCTCCCTGTCGACGGGGGGACCGTTCTGGAAACGCCAGGGCTGGTGGCGCTCGAAACGGAGTCGCAGGAGGCACAACTGGTAGCGGCATCGGATATGGTCTACCATCATCATCTCTGGGAAGCAGCACATAGCTGCACCAGCGGTTTTTCGTGCCAAATACTGGAGAGAAACGGATGCTTCTCATCCCTGTTTCGTACGCAACGCTTGATTTCTCTTTGAACTCCTATCCCAGTGTGTATCAACTCAGACAGTTCCAAATCTATAATGTTGATTCTTGATGAATAAACCACCCCAACCTCTTCATATATGGGGGGGTTGTTAATCAAGAGTCTACATTACAGTAGTTATTGTAACTCAGTCTGGTTCCAAAGTTTCACTTTACGTAGGGTCTTGGGCTTGGGTGTCCCTCCCTCATGACCAAAAGGAACAGATGCACTCACTAGTGAGTTTGCCGGAAGAAGCTTTCATCCCACTGTCCTGACGTCAATCCAACATTACTGTTTAACAACAAAGGCATATGTCATCTGATTCCAGAGTAGATGGCACAATCCCCATCAAGAAATTCAGGGGTTGACCACCTCCAACATCACTATTTGGATACCATGCAAGCTCTCCACTTGAAACTTGAATCCCGATGAAAATCCCTTGAGTCACGCCAAAGGTGTTAGGGGCCTGGCATTGATGAACCTAATCTGAGCAGGTGTTGGGGCCTTTGAAAGTACAAGTAGAAGAAGATCAAAGGAATCAATCTACTCTGTCAGGTGATTCCATGATAACTGGATCTACTTGTATTACTAAATGAGGCCCTGGTGTAGTTCACTACTCACTGTTGTGGATATTTACAAGATCCAAATAAACAATGATCAATGTGATGTATTGATATGTATTGTATGCGTCTTGATCTACTCATATCCACATCTGCAACCGGCCGCTCGGTCTCCCCACGAAGGCTCGAAGTACTGCTTGAAGCGCTCCCCGCGTTTCAGGAGCTCCTGGCTACCGCTGATGAGGAGTGGACGAACCGCACACACGCACAGTGGTGGAGTGAGAAGAACATGTAGCAAACTGAACTGGCTGATCAACAAGCTGACTGGTTAGTCGGTCAGTTGGCTATTTAATTGGTTACAGGATAAGTTATAAGTTTGTCAAGTTGTAGTATAATATATTACTGTATGTATACATGTATAGGGCGGCGCTGACTAGGGGGCCATTATATAATTACATAGTCGGTTTTATTTGGGTAACATAAATAAAAGCTCATTGGTCGCTTGGTGGGCTAGTTCCTTTGCTGGTGCATTTTGTCGATATAGTCACTCCGTGTTGGAACATCTGCGTCATGACCACTGGTCTCTGCATTCTGTGATATTCTATGACACTGAACCTAGTGGCCAAGGCATGTCTATGACCAATTAACGCCCTCACACTGCAACCCAGAATGCAAGACAGTTTGACTGGGACCACTGAACACTCCAAGACAACCACCGAGTACAAGCCCCAACATCTCCTTCTCATCCAAAAAACTCAATAATTATGTTGACAGGCTCTACTTCCACACCACCATTTGAGTGAGTTTTCTAGTTGAACGAGACAACCCATGATGTTGAGATGCCCAGAAACTGACGCAGAGTCCTTTCATCTCCCAGTCGCCTGCCGTACTTTGTAGAAGCCGTTGTAGTCGATGACCTACCAAAGACTTGCTGAGTGTCAGGGGTTTGGATCTGTGGGCATGAAAGGTGGTGTTGGCAGGATGGAGAGCCTCTGGTTTGAGCCAAGATGCGGGGCTACTGGAGAGCAGTGGGTACGGTATGCTTCAGCCAATTTGTTGTGCAACTCGAAGGTACGTGTCAGTAGGTTGAATGTTGATGTGTATTGTCTTACTTGACTAGTATCAATTAAATATGAATTTGATGATGAAAAGATATGAAAAGTAGCCACACCACAACCACCTTCAAACACCAATCTGCTTGTTGTGCCCAATCCTTGATGTAGCAAAATCTGTTGTGCTGAGAATCCGGATCAGTGTGTTCCAACAGCTGATGGAACACATCCTGTAAATCCTGTATCGCTGTATCGCCCCTTTCCAATGCCCGTCGAATCCGTTAAGATCCAAACCCATCCCGATTTGGTTAATGGCTCCTCTCGAGGGACATTATTTGCCAATCAGAGTATGTTGCAGATTATCCGCAGGATATCTCAGGATAATCTCAGGTGCTTTGTCGTTGCTCTGTTTGCCTCACCAGGTGCACTTCATGACCCGCAACCGGACCCGCCTCCACCTCTGAGTGGTCGGGGGCCCGAGTGACACTTCCTTGCTCCTCGCAGTCATGGTACCAACTCGTTGGTACCGGCCGGAGATTGGGTCGTTGGCAACGTCCCATGGTCTGCCCCTGCTCGTTGGGTTTCGAAAAACCACTCCCCAAACCAACCTGACGCTTGACACATGGCAAGGCAAAGCGGTCCCGTTGAAGTTGAAACGGAAGCCAGGGAGCGGCGATGCAGTGTAAGAAAGGGATGACGAGTCACAGCTTGACGGGAGTTTGTCGTTCTTTCACCGGATGAGCTTGTTCACCTCATGATGGCGACAGCAGCTGCTCAGCGACGGCTCACCTGATGACTTCACCAAAGCCGTTTCCGTGACCTGTAGTGACAGACTCGATATCATCTCCGAAACTACATCAGCGAATCATGGATCTTGCCGATTGAGAATGTTTTGAAATGCTGCATAATATATTTCAGTCAGCATGATGTCCAGGACACTTCTGCTGCTGGGAACATAAACACAAACATTTCTGAACCCAGTGGAGTCCCCCTGCATTCCCATCGATCTCCTTCAAGAGCCCCAGGATCGTATGAAGATCCTGTCGTTGGAGCTCGCTTCGGGCGCAAGCTCGCTCGCTCGAACCCGGAAGATCCGACGAAACATGAAAGGGGGAGGTGAGGTGAAATCTGCCACGGTGCCAAGAGAGGTTAAGTGACCTGAACTAGGACCTTACTGGGGTACAGAACTGGGATAGGCTAGTTCGGGTCCTTCAACCTCTGTTGCTGTGTCTCTGAAAGAGGAAGATTCCTGGATCATCCATTCCGAGTGACCCGGGGAAAAGGCCCTACCTCCAGCAGGCAGCTGAGTGGTGAAAAGCCTAGCCACTTGTGCCAGAGGTATATTCACAACAAAACTCCAGTACATTTTGCGCTACAGAAACCGTTGAAGTGTCATGGGGAGATCCCAATATCTATTCCAAACTGCTTGTTCAACAATTACATAAATTCCTTTGTGGACACATGTGGACACTCATATTGAAATCTACACCCCTACACTCAAAGTCCTACAGTCTGTCGCAGCTTGCGATGGCACAGAGCACAAAATAGTAAATGCTTTCAACATCATAAAATATCATAAACATAGCACCTCTTTTTATGTGTCTCCACAGGATTCCTCTTCTCCACTGAAATCCTTCCGGCTTCCGTCCTCCTCGTCGAGCAGTTCCTTGGAGGTCTTCCTCTGCAGTAGCCTGGAGCCTGAGCGATCGCCGAACGGCGCACCAAGCGAGCTCCGACTTCGTTCTGCCTCCGAAATCGGAAAAACCCAACCGGTGTGGTCTGTGACTTTCCGAGAACTTCCAATCATAGGAATTATATGGAATTATATGGAATAATGGTCCCATTTCATAGGAAGCCTCCAATCGGGCACATGAACACACTTTGTGGTGCTGCTGGGATTGTCATGGGTTGTGTGGACGCAAGGACGCATCCAAATCGAGGAGGTTTCGCCTAAGAGTCTGAAGCCGGAATGGTTGCTGGACACTATTTTGTGATCCTTCGTGTCTGGTCAACTTGAACATGAGAAAAACAAGCAACAACTTCGGAAATTTCTAGAGAAATGTACGAAAATATTAAGCGTATGTACAACAAGGGTAAATCGTACAGGGCAAATGATGGGTTGACATGGCTCATGTGTTTCTTCCTCCACTTCTCTTCCTCCCCACGGATGTCTAGTAATCAGAAAGAAGCCTTATTGGTACTAAATTGCACACGGCAACAAAGACGGAGATAGGTTGGCTCCTTCCCTCAAGCTATCAAATTTAACCCCACAGCTTATAGCACATGATGTGTCGCTTCAAAATCATTCTGAATATAATACATAACACACAACAAAGAAATCACACATGCATAAACTAAAGGAAAGGCAAATGAAAGGCCATGAAGGCAACTGCTAGCATGCTTCTAAGTTCTCCAAATCATACATCTATAGAATTCTATGTCTATAGAATAGATAGTCTATATATCTATGAACGATATTCCTTCCTTCTCTGCACCATTCCTGCCCAGAGGCGTGCTTCCCGCAGCACCCGGGGCCGTAAGGAGGTCGACTCGTCGAGGGGTGCGGCCTGGATCGAGGGGTGCAGCGGATGCCGAGCTGGATGGGAAAAAACCGCAAAGCATGCAGCTCCGGAAGAATTCAACGCCTGAGGATCGTCTTGTTTCATGGTTTTAGTGATGTCTTCTTTGTTTTTAATCAAACTGATGCTCTGTCCTTGTCTAGTTACTAGTGCTGGAATGTGCTGGAGCGGCGGGAGCAGTACATTAAAAAGATGGGAAGCGAAACAGAAAGTGACCTAGTGACCTAAGCTGAAAGCTGAAATCGACTGGTTTGCAAAAGAAGATCCTGCGTGAACTCAGCAGATCTCGAGTCACCAAATATAGGGATTTGATGGGATTTGCACTCATAGATCTGGGCTTTGAGGCTCGCGAAAACACCAAGCTGAGTGGGGTGTTGCCTTGCAAATTCGCAACTTCACCAAGCAGTTGAAGAGTTGGTGCAAGCGGGATGGGCTTTGGTGTCCAAAAGAATCCAAAAGGGTTGTTGTTTGAATGAGATTTGGATGATACTAGTCTTGAGATGCACAAGAAAATGGGCATTGGACCCCGATCTTCTCGCAATCAGTGGCTTTGGTGTACAAGAACTCAAGGGAACATCAAATCCTAATCTTATGATGTACAAAGTGAATACATACCAATGTAGCAAACCAATCAAACATAATTCAGACTTGTCTTGCGTCTAGTGGTTTGGATCACCCTCAGTCCACTGGCGCCCAGAACACCATTGGGACGTCCTAACACAGAACGCTGCCTAGTGCCCAACACTGTGGTATCAATGTGCGGCGATGAACGTCAACATTGGATCAGTAACCCGGTTTGTAGTCTGAAGATGTTTGTTGTCTATATATAGTCCCAAATTCACCATCAAAACATCCGCAAGTCAGGCATAAAATCCATGGTGCTCCAACCGTTTGAGTCCCCCATCGCATATACTAATAAAATGTTCGAGGCTTAAAGTCTCGGTTGTAGGTTTTTAGCATGCGTAGCGGCGGATTGCCAGGCTTGGTGTTTGTTTGGCGTTCAATTCATTCAGCATGCTTTGCAAACACTTAGTGAAGGTTATTGTGATCCCTTTAAGTCACCTATCATTAACCTACGTAGCCTACGTGACACAATGTGATATGCTCCCCATCCTTAACTAAATATATACCCTCCCTGAAACCATCTATGGAAGTGGGAAATGGCCCTCGAGACTGGAGACCACATTCCTCTACAAACAGGGGGCACCTGTCCATTTCCATCCACTTCCAATGTTTGTTAGAAGGGTATCTATATATATATATATCAATTCCGGTAAAATGGCAAACAAAAACAACGCCACTCAGATCCACCCAGCCTTGCGCTGGAAGAAGCGCGGAATGGACCTCCCAAGTCGGGAAAAAACCCGAGATAAATGGACACCACAACAGAATCTTGTGATAGCTTGTGTAGATATATAGATCCTTGTAGTAACTAGGGTCTCAAGATGATCACCTATGTGGTCAGGACTGAAAGACTAAACATGTCTCACACTGACATTGTGATGTTGGCAATAAGGCAATAAGCAATACCAAACAAGAAAACGCACGAAGTACGCAAACTGCTAATCAATGAGTGAAGCGGGACTCGGACTAACTAGGTGTGGAGTAAAGCAAAACACACAGGCAGGCCTACATCATAAAGCAAAAACAGAACGTAAACAGGAACACAAAAAAAAACAAGAACAATGAACAAAAACAACAACACACTAAAGAGCCACAACCACAACGACCACCAACTCAGCGGCGACAGCAGCAGCAGCAGCAGCAAAAACGGGATGTGGCGACCACATCACTGTGGAATGGAATCCAAGGACTGCTGAGGTCAGTGAAGAACTCCACCCTCCCAAGTTCTGTTGCCCTTCAAACCGGCTACGTCAGCTTCCTCGCGAAGGTCCACGTGCCTCAAGGAAGGGCACCGCTGCTCTTCTTTTTCTCGTTCGAGCTCTTGGAGCTCTCGAAAAGCGGCCTCCTGGGGAGAAAATGAGAACATGATCTGCTCCCAACACCCAAACTCCTTAGTTAGAAGGAGCAGCCTGGTAGCCCATTTTTGTTTGGCATTGGGTGTGTCCAATTGTTGTCAATGTATGAAGCATGTTTTCTTTCCGGCTGCTTGGAGTATATAACAAGCACATTCCATCGGACCATCGGATGCTCTAGCTACCGTGGAGTGGTGATGTCCCATCACCGTGCGAGTTAAAGCTCCAAAACCTCCACATCTACAAAAGCTCCTCAAACCGACGCAGAAGTTTGAGTATGATTGAATGTATCGGATATATTGTTTTCATTTGTTTTCTGTACTTTCGACTGATTCGGGTCTACCTGCGAACCCACAAAAATTCACCCAGCGTTCCTTTTCCCAGGTCGACCAAGGAGTCGGTCGTCATGAAACTGGAGGATCTGAAGTGAGATCCTACTCATCACCTTTTGGATTCACTATGTCAGTGGATCCATGTGGAACCTCCCCTGAATTCCATAGGTCTCATACCGATTCGGGTCACACCAGGTAGACTTCCTCCAGGCCCATGCAGGCCCTCTCTCTGGAACTGCTGCAACTGACTCCTTGGTGCATCCACGACTTGGCTCGATCCTTTCGACTGAACTGCGGGGCTGAGCTCGTCTTTCTTCGCCCCAGTCCTCGGCCATCTCCATATCTTCCTCGCTGGGCAGTTCATAGCCTTTGGTGTAGCCTCCGCAGTGCGGATCGAGTGGTGTAGCCTTGGGCACACCTCTCGTCTAGTCCCCCCTGGGGGAGAAAGACGGTCCATCTGAAAGTGCTGGAATTGGCGGAGAAGGAGAAGGAGTCGTCTGCAGAAGGAGTCGCGGTCAATGTCGATGATTGCTTTGCGTGAAGGGAATGGTCGCCAAAAGGGGTTCTTTGGGTTTTATCTGTATGTCATTTCAGGGGCTGTGGTGTGTATAAATTATGGTAAAAATCCGTTCACATCTTTGTTACGTTCTTTCGTGCCCATCTCTTCATTGCTTTGGTATTGGGTCATGACAGAGACGACTGACGTCCGCTTCGAGAACTTCACCAATTTCTGCAACAAACAAATTGAGGCGTCTGGGACGGTCCAAAGAACTTGCTCCGGTCCTTCAGTCCTGGGTCCCTGACATTCTAATGTAGGTTCTTGGTGAACAAAAACAATTTATATAGATGATGACACATACTTTAAATATTTATATATAATATGTATATATAATATAATAAGAGAGATTCTATCAGTCTACCTTACACCATCCCCACCCACCTCTCAGTCGCAGCAGAGCGTTTGACAAGTTCAGGCACGCCGGGCGGACCCTGCGACGGGCGGAGCATCGACCAGAGAATCGACCGAAGGTGACGAGTCTCCGTCGTCGGAGGGGTTGGTTGGATGACCGTGTTGCAGCAGATTTCTGGTGCGAAGATGGTCCTAGGTAGTTTGTGTCTCAAACAAATTTACACCAAAAATGAACAGGGAACCAGAGAACGATGGGGGTGTTCTCTTGTTGGCCTTTGCGGTATACAGATCAATGCTCAACGTACAGCGCCAGGTTTGTGCATGGAAGGTATGGGTCACAAAGAGGAGACCTACATACAGGTGGACCGACAGGTTTCAGACCAAATCGATGGGCTGTGTTGTTGACGGTGAATGCTGGGATCTTGCTGTTCCCCGATTCTGGCATCCTGACGGTTGAGTCCATGTAGAAACAGCTATAGAGACTATAGAGTGTAGAGTCCATCGAATAGAACACCTCGTGATCTTGAACAGCAGCTCAACCAAGTCATGCCTCTCCAACTCAAAGAAAACAACTGAATATCTGTGTATATATGTATGTGTATGTACGTACGTATGTATGGTATGTATGTCTGTCAGAATGTCAGTATGTCAGTATGTCAGTCAGTCAGTCAGTCAGTCAGTCAGTCAGTCAGTCAGTCAGTCTGCCTGCCTGTCAGTCTGTCTGTCTGTGTATATATATACATATGTGTATGTGTGTATGTATGTGTATCTATGTGTGTATACTTACATATGCTCGTTCTACCGGTTAGCTCGCCACACCCACGTGCCCCAAAGTGCTACCTGTAGAATCCTGTGACGCCCCTGTGGGGGGAGGAAAATAATGAATGACAATGAATGACACACATACTACATGTATGTCATGCATGAACAAAGGACAAACTAGGGATGGATGGATTGGTGGAGAGTTGAACGGATCAATACAGGCATGGCTAGTGGTGGTTGTGAGAGTAGGAAAGGTTTACTTCGCAAATGGTCTACTCAAACCTGCAAAAGAAAATAAAAGAAATGCATAATATACATGAGAAAAGTGTTGTCCTTTTTGTCCCATGTTGTGGAACTATGTCATGCCTTTTTTTGATCACTGTTGGGAGATTTCTACTCAAATACCCCGTACCCAAAACCAGCCCCCCTGAGGCACCGACATGTCCGAATGGCGCCGCTTCCCGTGTTTTCAAAGCAGCCACGGGGACGCAGTCAGTGCACGCGGCTCCCGGATTTCCGGATTTCTGGCGAATATGTTTCCGTGATGATGATCGAAGTAATGCCTGTCAATTTGCCACATGCAAAGGTCTATGATAGGCATCTTGCCAATGCTGGAAACTGGAACTGGAAGAGAGAGTAGGAGGGCCGCTGGTCATGAGAAAAGCCCTAGTTGCAATGGTTGTTTGTTTTGTCATAATATCATCATTTATTGTAATTTATGATGCCAGCATTGCGATCCCCAACAAGAATAAACTTCAACAAAGACCATGACTAAAGCTGGTGGCCCCCCTTTTTTCGGGGCGCGCCACCCACCATTCTTGAGCCAAATCGGATTATGTGGACGAAGTGTCATGTCCCAACCTCTCAGGAAAGCTTTGCAGCTGTCCAACCTCTCGGGAAATGTATAGAAATGCTTTATGGCTTAGCCCACCGGGCACGATATTTTCGGTGGATCTGGTGAACACCACGGGACCAAACACTGAACCCTGGACCAACGGTCATCCTTTCTGTGAATCAAGGGTCATTCATATCATTCTTTTCCGGTGCACCAGTGAAAAGCCCCAAAGCCTACATCAAAACCCATCAGCACCCGGTCCGATCTTCGATCAGAACCCAAGATGGTCCACCAACCTCAAGGATCTTGACCCCAGATCAGAACTCGCTGTGTTTCCACATAGCATCATAGGATCCTGGGATGGTCATGGTCCTGGTTGGACTCCCTTCCCCTTTGCAGGCCCGACCCGCACCAGTTGTCCTATTGTCTTGTCCAATCCTGCCATGTTTCCACTATCTTCAAACAACCTTCTTCGGATGGAGGAGGTTGTAGTCACAATAGTACCTGTAATTGTTTGAACATGTTTGAACCATCCAGGGTGGATGCACAAAACTTCCCACATGTGCAATTGTAACTTGTATCCATTGCGATGTCTATCCAATCTCGAGCCAAACGGTGATTCTGATGTTCACCGACACACACACACACAACAAAAAAATAAAGAACGGATTTCCAAAGAACTAAGGTACCAGTAACCCATGGGACATCTCCGACGGGACCACTCCAAAACCCTCCGGAGTCCGCCCCCCACGTGAGTTTGATCATACCCAGTCCCAGTCCCATAGCCCCATCTTTTGTGGATTCCCCAGTCTCGGCTTTCTGAGGTCCAACCTTTATCCCAAGACCCCCACCTTGGCTCTCGCCACATCCAGGCGGCCCTTGGCCCCTGCGACACACCACGTCGGTGAAGATCTACACAGGGTGGAGGCCATCGCTACTGAGTACTAGGGTGGAGGCCAGACAAGGAGGCTCCCCAGTCTCGCGGGGGTCTCCACTACATTCCACAGGGCTACTTGTAAATCCCTCAAGGATCCGGGTGACGTTGTAGATTGGATTGTCAGGGTGAGGTTTAGGGTCCTAGGAAATGAAGGGACTCAAGATGACTTAAGTGTCGGTCTACAGAATGAAGGGGGCCTACATCACCAGCGAGGTGACTTTTTGCATGCTGTGGAAACTGTGAGCGGCAATTGTGTGCAAACCTCAGGTCCCACTAGAAATTGGCTTGCCCAACGTCTAGCGTGCATTGTCGCCCAAAATGGCTGGGCTGCCCCAAAAGTCAAATTACTACAACATGATTGCCCAAAAGTAGATTTCACTATACAGAAAGCCTTTTTATTGCAGCCTCAAGGCCAGTCATTCTTTAGTGGAATTTTCCATCGGAGATCCTCAAGGTAATTTTGGTAGAAATTGACTGGGCCAGCTTGCAAAGCTCAAAGGACTACTATTTTGAGCCATGGCCACACCCGTTTTTTGCTGGTGAGTCAGGTCCTGAGTCTGAGCGCGTGCTGTGTCATGCCAGAAGTGGTGTGGTTCGTCCCGCTCGTGGATGTGATGTTCGGGGCGGCACCTCCTTCCGTTCGGAACAGGCGCGACGTGTGATGATCTGTGTCCAGACCGGACCGGTTTTGGCACCCTCCCTGAGTCTCCAGGCCCTTCTCGGGCCGACCGGCCATGGCCGGAAATTGCGTTTTCAGCACCCCCTTTGGGGGGCTTGAGCACTGAGACGCAACGAAACATACAGTCACTGGAACCTGGTGGTTCAAAGGGTGTTCCACGGCCACGCAGATTAACCCCCTGGGTTTTAAGCCCTGTATGATTTTGCCAAGACACGGTTTTGGGGTAAAGAAAAACAGTCTTGGTATGGCCCTGGCCCAAGGCCAAGACTTATAGACGCGGAGAGACTTGCGGGATCTATATTTGAATCTGTATTGTGCAGAAACTTCATCCAACTCTACTCGGAAGCAACATTGAACAAAAACAATTGTGTTGTTTGATGTTTTTTGTCAGTTAAGGGGAGACACGCCAATGCACTTTCATGTTCAGCCATATGGGGCCATGATCCAAGAGCCACGTCATGGCGCCACGTCATGGCGGCTCTTTCTAGCTCTTTTGGGCGAGCGCGGTGCTGTTCTGGGAGCGGGATTGGATCCTGAAATGCGAGATTGACCCAAGTGAGTGCCTTGGTCAAAAGAAAGGTTCTCTTCACGCCGCTCGGCGTTCTCCGTCGACACTGGAGACGGACCGGTCATTCCGTCGGATCCGGTGGGTCCGCGGTATCGACGATTTCGGGGGGTCGTTGATGGTCGTTGCCCACCATACCTCCGACACGATTCACTTTGCTCCAAAGTAATACCTTTGCCTTAAAGGAAAACACTCAACTGCGAAATGATCTCATTGCACCTACAAAAGTTATGACACAATTTGCAAAATCCGAGAGTCGAAAAGCAATGGACATCTCTTGACCCAACCTTCTCCATCACCAGAAATAACAGCCCAACAATAACCAAATACAAGCACGCGAACAATAAACCTTACGTAGCATTTGGGGGGATTTTGTTTTTTTCGTCGGTCGTGGTGTTCTTTCTTCGTTGTGTTTTTTCGTAAAAAATCGTCGTCTTGTGGGGTCAAACCAACTCGTGGGCTCTCAATCGACTCGTGGCGTCGACATCATCTCAATCTCTCTCAGGTCCAACCCCGCGAAAGAGAGCGAGGACGTTAACGAGGCCCCAGCGAAAGAGGGAACATGAAGAGCACTCAGCCAAGACAGATCAGACGGAGATGTTGACAACTGAATATAGTGTAATTGACACGGTTGATTCGCTGATTGAATCTTT